GAGGGTGGGTTCCTAGTCTTTAAAGGAGACGAGCGCACTTAGGGGCCTCTGGGAAAGTTAATTAACGGGGCCGTAGGTCGAGCCTCTAGCTGTCCATCCTCATCGCTGGCCCTCACATCCAGCCACTTGGAAGCTGGTAAACTGGCTTTTAGGAAGACAAATACCGCCTGCCCCCATCCCCCCTTGTTGATACCACACGACTAAATGACTAGCTGGACAGGAAATACAGCTTGAATACAAATAGGGCCTCCTTGCCCTGCGGGACCACTGAGTCCTGAGGGTCAGTGGAGCACCCATTGCGCGAGATACAGGGCTGGGTGCCACAAAGGCAGAAGAGGCCTGAGGTGTGGGTCCTGCCCTCCCGAGGTCTGCAGGCCGCCCAGGCACGGGAGAGGCAGGTTGGGAGCTCATGCTGACGGCCAAGGGGCGGAGGGGCAGGAAGGCAAGAGAAGCTCCTTGGAGAGAGCCCTGTGGGCCAAGGCAGTTACAAAAGGTGGGATTTGAGTCTGCCCTGAAGGATGGAGGTAGATCTTTTGAAGGACGAAGTTGAGGCTAGGGAGAACATTCTAGTAGGCAGAAGAAGGGCAAAGTGTAGGGGGATTCATTCATTTTTTAAAATTTAACAAATTCTTATATAGTGCTTACTAGCATCACGCCTTCTTCCTAGAACTCTTCCCATTTTCACTGATTTGATCCTTACAACAACCTACGCGGGAGCCACAGTTACAGTCTGTTTTAGAGATGAAGAAACGCAGTGAGTGCTGGACCTGTCTGCAGAGTCCTGGCAGTTTCTTGGTACTCAAGGCAGGCCTGGAGAAGGATGACAACAATGACCGTGAGCTGCACGGCACCTCCAGCCCTCTGCAGGGCTCCCCGGGGCTCTCCTGGGTGGCGTCAGGAGCTGGCCTGTCCTGCTGGAGCGGAGAGGAGTAGTAAGGGGCAGATCATCGATGGATCCTGCAGACGAGCTGGCAGGGGCTGCTGTGGCAGGATGTCTCTGAAGCCCAGACACCAGGGCAAATTCTTCACAGAGATGCCCATTCAGACCAAATGTAAGAGTGAAAGCTGAGGTTCTGGAGTCGGAATGACCTGGTAGCTAGTTCTGGCTTTGTCATTTACCTTCGGCAAATTACTGGGCCATTCAGAGCTGCAGTCCCCTCGTGCACAACAGGGTATGAGGCCGCCTGCCTCGAAGGGCTGGTGTGAGGGTAACAGAGAAGCTGCGTCAAGTGCCCAGCACTCTGCCTCACACGTCAGGAGTTCCCCTTCTCCTCTGAAGGCACGTAAATGTATTGTGACCCAAACACCATCTGGAGCCTTCTTGCCTCTTCAACACCAATGTACAAATGGGTCAGTTTCCGAGTCTGTGAAAGTCAAAGTCTCTCCCAGAATTTTCGTTAATTCCCGCCGGCTTGTGCTCTGAGCCCACATTCTCCTGTGGTCTTTGCGCACGCTGCATCAACAATGGATGTGGAATTCACCAACTTGGCTAGCTTGTATAAGATACCCACTTGCACGAAGCAAATTCATCACCTGGGTAGACTTGACTGATGCTTTGGGGGACCCGGGGAATGTCCCACCCTGGAGTGCCAGCCTTCTCATTGTGTCCCTCTAATTTGGGGTCAAACTTGAGCCGGCATCAGGATCACTTGGAGGGTTTGTTAAGACCCAGATTCCAGAGTTTCTGATGCAGTAGACGGGTGTGGCCCAGACTTTGCACGGCTCTAAGTTCCCAGGTCTTTGTGATGCCGCTGGTCCAGGGACGACACTTTGAGAACGGCTGCTCTACTCTTTCCTCTGCCTGTCACTGCTCCTCCTCTGCTCCCAGCCCCCACCTCACTGTCCTACTACACAGGACTCTCTCCCGCTGCCAACTGCAGACCCCCTGCCCAGATCAATTCTGGACCCTCCATTTAATAGGATTCAGCCTCGCTAGGGGGAAGTTGTGATTTTTATACTAAGTAATTTTGTTTGTTTGTTTTAAGAGAAACACCCCCCTGCCCTCCAGCTGCTCTGCTGGGTCTCCCACGGGAGGCTGAGGGGTCCCAATTCTGGTTCGGGCTCTGTGTGGGTAAAGTGAGTTCCTACCGAACTCAAGCCAGGGCTGAGTCTGTCTGTGGACTCTACCAGACAGCTCCCTGTCTACACAAAGAGGGGCCTTTGTGCCTGCCGTGGGGTCTGAGGCTAATCAGCAGAAGTTCTAGGGGCTGTGCGGTGGGGGTGGGAACGGGGGTTGGGGGCTGTGCAGTTGGGCCACAGCTGTGGCTCCAAATTGCTCTGAGGCCACTGCCTGGCCCAGGCTCCAGCAGGAGCCGACATCAAACAAATGGGCTCTGATGCATTAAGTGGGGAGGGGGAGGCCGAAATGGGCGCTCCCCACCCCTCCACCCAATATGGTGTGAGCAGTAGAGGCTGCCTTGATGAGAGGGGCTATAACGAATTCCCAGATCCCATCTCTTTGGGGGCAGCTGGCAAGAGCGGGTATAGCATTCACTCTTAATAAAGATTGGAAGATGACTGTCCCCCACCACTGGCTCGGTTAATCCAACTCCACGCTGGAGATTAGCATTTCTAATGGCCTGGGAGGCACAGCCTCCAGGAGACAGGGAGGAGGGATGACAGATATGCTGGGGGTCCCTGGGGCTCTGAAGAGAGGCAGCCGCTTTGTTTGGCCTCAGTTGAATTGAGGTTGGCTTTCTTCAGATAAGACGCATGCATCATCTCTCCACTTGTCCCACTGAGTGGGGCTCCTGGTCTAAAACTGGGCCAGTGGGCGCCCCCACCCCCAAAATGTCATATCCAGTCCACTATTCAATATCCAATATCCAAAGAGGATGAGAAAAATCTGGAACTCACCTAGCCTCTTCTTTCAAAGGAACGTCTGTCTCATTCATTCATTCATTCACTCATTTATTCATATTCATTCATTTTGTTCTTGCTGTATGAGGCGTGGCCTGTGGATACAGAGATGAAAAAATAGTCTCTTATACTCAGGAAGTTTATAATTTAGTAAAAAAAAAAAGGACAATAAATGTCGTATGTCAGACTCCATGAGAGACATGGGATCTAAACCAGCCTGTGCAGAGGTGGCTGTGTATGTGCGTACTTGTTCACACCGTATCTCGTGTCGGGGAAGACCTCCTGAGACGGTGTTGACTGAGCTGATGGTTAAAGATGTGTGACCTAGCACAGAGGCCACAGCCTGCTTTCCAGGGGCTCAGGAGAGGTGATCTGTAGGAGACAGAGGATCAGAGGGGTTGAAATGGGAAAGAGGAAAGCACCTGACGGTGTGGCAAGGCCTGGCTGTGAGCATCAACTCCAGTGATGACCAATTATCCGGCAGAGGGCAGGTGTGGAAGGTCGAGAGGCGGATGTTCCAAGCAGAGCCATCTTTGGGCCGTGATTCATTTACTGAAGCCACGTTTATTGAGCCCTTTGCCCCAGATGCTATAACATTGCTGCTGCTTACTTGACTGTCTCCCATGACAGTCTGAGCTCCCCGAGGACTGGAACACTCTCCTACTTACCTTACGTCATTCATTGGCACAGAGCAGGGTATTAATAGGTGCTTTTGAGTTGAACTGACTTGCCAAAGCTGAGGAGCGTGAGAATCATTGCATGTCGGGGGAGCTGAAAATAGCTTGGAAGGGCTAGAATTTAGGGTATATGTGAGGAGTGGTGAAAAATAAGCCTGCAGAGGTAAGGGTCAGATCATGGAAGGTCTAACAGGCCACAGTTTAGATTTTATCCTGTGGTTGCAAACTGAAGGTATGGTAGCAAACTCGATGGTTTCAAGTAAAGGAGTCGCATGATCTGGTTTGTATCGTAGAAGATCCTTTGGCTGCAGTTTCAAGGGGGAGTGTACCGGTGACACAGGAAGCAAGGACACCGAGTTCAGGATGAGGGCTTGGACTAACGGGGGGACAGTGCAAATGGACATGAGGGGCAAATCTCAGAGACAGCCTGTGAACTCGAGAGTGATGAGAATAGGTCTTTCTCATGTTCTGAGGAGTGAACAGGGTGCTTTGAGACATGGGGTGACATACCCAATGCGTCACCCCACAGTTCAGGAGGAGCAGACCCGGAAACAAGGTCTCATTTTAACCTGATGAAGTCATAACCCCTCAGATCAACGATTTGTTCTGAGGACTCTGAAGGGAGGTGAACAGAGGTGGGCTGGTTCTGGGTCCACAAAAGTTGGGCCTGCATTTGCAGGGAATCGTTCACCCTTATTTCCCATTACTGCCTGCAAACCATCCGTTATCCTTCTGTGAGAGCAGAGCCACCTCCCAGCCCGCCCCTCCTAGCTCTGACGCCACCCTGAGGAAAGGGAGGGGGCTACAAGTTCTGGGCGGTCCCCTGCCATTCATCCCGCCTGGGAGACGCTCTTGGGCCACCTCTCAATGAGAATTAGCACAACTCCAGGCCAAAGCGTGAAGAGAGGAGGCTGGCGGGGGTTGAGTGTTGCCGGTCAACCAGCACAGCCCTCTGTATCTTTCCCTTCTCTCTCTGCTTGTTGACTGAGATTCCTGCGAGTCTACTGAGAGGGGTTTTGGGTTTGTTGTAAGCAGGTTTATTCATTCTTTCGACAATATTAAGTGTCTCTCCTGCACCAGGCACAACGCGGGGCACATGCTGGAGTCCTCCCACATCCGGGCTGGGTGCAGGGACAGGAGGCGCTTGGACACAGTGTCGCTGCGCGGCTCTCTCCTGCTCCCAGCATCCCCCGCCATGGCACTTGCACAGGGACGTTTAATCCGGGTGTCTCCACAGCTGTGCACATTCCTATACCAGTCGCTCTACGTTTAAAACAAATTCTGCCAAAGAGTTTTCTAGAATAAGACCGACTTCAAGATGGGGGTGATGTCACAGAATTCCGTAGATGAATGCTGTCAGGTGCCATGAAAAACCCCTTGATTCAGTTCTGCCATTAATCTCCTGACATTAATCCCCTCCACCTCCCATTAACTAGGGAAAATGAACAAATCACATGGCCAGAGTCCATTTTGAACAACTTTTATTATACGTTTAGTGTTCTCTATACAAAAGAAATCAGTTTTTTTTTTTACAGTGATTCAAAAAAAAACTCTGAATAATTTGGCCTTTTCATTGCTCATGCAGTCAGTTTATAAGTCCATGTATTAGATGGCCCTCCACGGCCCAGTCATCCGTGCTGAAGGTTGTGCGCAACACCCTCAGAAACACAACTGTCGCTGACAACACTGGTTAATGCAAAACAGCTCGCAGGGAGGAAAGAACACAGTGTGAGAGGGGTTAAAACAACTCTGCCGTGCGAGTTAAATACGGAACCAATGGAGAAAGGTCAGACCAACTCAGTGTGGGTGTGCGGGAAGGGATGGAGACACCGGGGAAAAATTGCCCCACTGAAAGGAACAAATTGGAAAATGTGTGTGTGGGGGGCAGGGCAAGAAGTCCCCGGGGCTCAGCAAGGGTTGGGGGTGGGACCAGGACAGAGGGCAGCCACGTCACAGGCAACTGGTGCTCAGCGCAGGAGTGTGAAGAAGTTGGCAGAGAGCCAGGAGCCGGGCAGAGGGACAACACTGACTGAGGACATCGAATCTGGGAGTCAGAAAAAAGAGCAGGGCAGGGTCATCTGATCTGCATCGTTTTTGAAAAAGAAACAGAGTCGTGCACAAATTTCTGGTTTTCTTCTCCCAGATTTTTGTGTTTATTGCTTCACTGAAGTCTTTACATGTGCTGAACTCCAGCCCAGCAATTCCCAGAGTGGCAGAGCTCCCACGGGCCCTGCTGCCCTCAGCACCCTGCGGCCAAGGGCGGGGTGGACTGAGGGCTCTCCACGCCCTCATCTCCGAGGGACAGCGTGTGGCGGGCCCAACATGTTAGGAAGCGGAGACCACTCCAGGGAATAGTCCAGGCTTCACAGTGACAGACACCCATCAGCTCGTCACTCTTCTCCTGGCCTGGGTCTGCCCTTGACCGCGCAGCCAGGTCCACCACAGGCTGGCAGAGACTGACTGGTGTTGGACTCAGAAAAATCCTTTGTGTCTTTCCTTTGGGGAGGAACCCGGGGGCTGTGGGAGAAGTGCTACAGAGGCATGAGAGGGTGCACCGGCAGGAAACACCTCCTGTGCTTCCAGGGAGGCAGCTGCGGTGAGATGGGGGAACACTGGACAAGGAGTCAGAAGGCCCGGGTTCAAGCCCTACCCTCACCTGGACTCACCAGCTATGTGACTAGGGGGCAAGTCCCTTCACTCCTTGGGTTAGTATCCTTGTCTTTACAAGTCATTGATTCCTTCGCATGCTGAAATCTGAACTGTCCTAAACCGGACGCCTTTGTATCTATTTCCTTTCCATCCTATCACTACGGAACATCCACCTAACGCTAACATACTGATAGAGGAGCGCTGGTTTTGGCTTGAGACACTGGTGGGGCCTCGTGGCTTCCCTGGATGGCCGTCCTCCTTCTGCTCTTATCCTGCTCTGGACCTGTCTCAGGAAGGCCCGTTCTCCGTAGGGGAGGGGAGGAAAGGGTGCTGCCCTGGCTGGGGCTGGCAGGCTGGGGACAGCCACAAGGTTGGTTCCCAGGGGGTGGCCCTGCCTGGTTCAGGGGAAGGGAGGGAGCTGCCAGGCCACTGCGCCTCCTCCTGACATTTCAAGCTCTTGGTTTCATTCAGTTAAGTCCTCTGATTTTTTTTAAATCAGGGACTCCTACCTGCTTCTCCTAAGCTACCATGCAAAGCTCAGCCAGGACCGGCAGGTGACGTCCCTCTGGGACCTAACCGTGTGTTTGGCAGGACCTGCCCGAGAGGTGACAAGGCGTCCCGAGGGGGAGCCTCCTGGCCAGCATCCCAGGAATCCGCCATCCTCCTCGGGAGAGGCGACCCCAACACCAGCCCCGCCTCACGCCCAGGAGCCTCGCCTCTCCTGGGTTAATGCGCCACCTTCTAAAGGCCGAGGCAAAAGCGGTTAACCCCCACTGCCAGCACACAGGCTGCCTGCCACGCTCTGGGACTTGGCTCCGACCCGCACACGGCTCCAGGAGCCTCAAAGAGCTGCTGCCCGTGATGTTCCTGGGGAATGGTCCCCTCCTTTGGATCAGACGCTCTCTCGGTTCTGCCTACAGGAATTACCCAGATGGGGCCCAGCCTGGACCGCCTCTTTCCCCTGCCTCGAGATGGACACTGCACGCACACAGCCCTCTGTATCCCACCTCAAGTGGGCCTGGGTGTGGACTCACCCTCTCCAAGACAATGTCATAAGCTGTATTGCTCCCCCTGACCGTGCCGCCCTGCAGGAGGGCCTTGGTCTGCTGTGTGTGCGTGTGTGGGAGTGCCCAGGCGTGGGTGCTGCGTGTGGGCAGGGAGGCAGTCCCTTAGCTGGAAAACCCACAGATATCCTCGGATCTATTTCCACCCCTTTTCTAAGGCAACTTAACTAGGAAAGCACTATGTGGGCCCAGCTCGCAGATGCCCCCTGCAGGGGCAGCAATATGGGCACTGGCTGCTCTCGGAAAGGCGGCCTCTTCTCCAGAGCTTGGGACTTGCCAGGAAGGGGGCGGGCCAGATGCCTCCAGCCTCTTGGGACAAAGGCCACAGACAAGGGAGCTCTGGTTTTCCCGTTAGCTTAAGCTCAATCATCTCCTCAAAAGCAAGGTAAGGAGACATGTCCTATGCACCATAACTCAGGCTGTCCCCTGGCCCTGCAGTGGTGTACTCCCAGACACGGGCCTCCCTGCTCCTGCAGGTGGGCCCAGGCCCCTCTGTGGGGAGAGGAGTGGAGACGAGGCACTGAAACTCACATAAGTTAAGCAACTTGCCCCAAGGGGCAGAGCAAAGAGGCTCAGGAAGCAGGACTGTTGCGGCAGGTTTGGACTGCCAGCCTTGCGGACCGAGTCCTCCCTCCAAAGCGTCTCCCTTCGAGCCTGGAGCCTTGTCGGCTTAGGTACTCAGGTGCTCCCAGCCAGTGCCCACTGTGTCCCAAGACAGTTCCAGGACTGTCAGCGCTGTGAGGGCAGGGGCCATACCTCATTATTCACCTTGGTACCCTCGGCTCAGAGCCTGGCTCAGACTGGATGTCCACGAGCGTCTAAGCAATGGATGGACAAATGAGAGCATGGATGCCACAGCTCTAACGGCTGAGCACAGTGGGTGGGAGCGCAGCACAGGCAACGGAATTTCCAGAGTCACCGTGAGATGACCGACACTTCTCCCCCCCAGCCAGACAGGCTGAGGCACCAATGGTGTCGCCCTCTTCTGGCATCGTTGTTAGTATGTTTCGGGGTGGTTGCGTGAGAGCCCCAGCTGGCAGGGGGTGCTGGACGATACCCCTTTCCTTCTGAGCTGGGTGGACTCCGGCGTGGGCCCCCTGGAAAATAGACTTCCCTCTTGCTAGAAGGGCTGCCTCCCTAACCCTGCAACCTCTCTAAGCATCCGCCATCTTTGCTTGGGGAGAACTTTGTTCTTCAAGCCCAGGTTTCTCCGGCCTGCCAGGAGGATGGTGAGCATGTGGTAGTGGGGTCAGCTCTCAGCACGACAGCCTCATGACAGGGCTGACGGCACTATCTTCCTACATGAAGGAGGTTGGCACAGAGCCTGGCAGGACGCAATCGAGGAGCAGATCCAGGCTGAGGAATCCCCTCTCCCCAAGACTCTAGGCTAGCAGAGGCCCTTCCCCAGTCACCGGCGGTGGAGCAGCCCTTCCAGAGGCAGGGGAGGGGCACGATGACACCCTCCTGCCCTCAGAGCCTGTTTTCGGTGCACTGAGTTTCCTAGCACGTATGGTGCAGTATGGAACGAGGGCCTGAGAAACTGACTTCTATGCTCAGATCCAGAGCGTTTTCTAGAAAGGCTGGGCCGTTAACTCAGCTCACAGGCACACTTCCCTGACATTCCCTCTAGGGACCTGGGCCTGGGCCGCAGGAACGCCCAGCTGTATCCGGGCAGGTGTCGAGGAAAGCCAGGGAAGGGGACCCTGAGCTCACTCCCCAGCCCCCTGCTTGTTAGCCTGCCCCCTTTCATCATGCAAGAGTTGCCTCTCGGGATTCCAGGCAGCAAACCTGGACGTGGCTTGGGCCAAAGGACAGTTACTCGCTCTCAGCTTAGAACAACATGATTGGCTGAGCTCTGGGCTCTGATTTCCTACCTGCACACAGAGTATGTGTCTACGGGCTTGCCCTTCATCTGGCTCATTATCGAGTGATGCAAGCACTGCTAATACCTTTGTGGCTTAAACATGTGGCAAACGATGCTTTAGAAAGCCTCTGAAGGACATAGCCCTGTTCCTGCCTAGGCCCCCTGGCAAGCAGCTGGAGCCTCAGCTCAGAGGCTGTGCCCGTGGCAGGTGGTCCATTACTGGGAGTCACCTTTGCCCTCCTGAAACCGACTCCAGCTGCAGCAATAGCTACAGTGTCACTCTGAGGCTGGAGATCCCTCTCGGAGGCTGGATACCTTTGGTTTCAACAATGGATTAGGTGGGGAGGATGACAGCTCTCTGAGAACTGCAGGTCTGCGAGGGTCTCCAATCTGGGGCAACGGGATGCAGGGTGGGTGTTGAGTGGCTGCTTCGGGTTCTGCTGTGGCGCTTGCATAGGCTGCCCCGTTCTCCTTGAGACACGTGGCTGGAGGCTTCAAGGCTTGCAGGGAGGGGTGGGGAACCTGGAACTGCAGGGACAGATGAGAGCTGCATAAGGCATACGGAGATCACTGCCTCCTCTGGGCCAGGTGTCACAGCACTGTCAACCATGCCCCCTCAGGGTCTCTGGATATGCAAATACCCTAAGGAAAGGACACGCTGGTCAGTCCCAGGGGCAGCAGGGCCTCATCCACACACCACATAAATTTCAACGTCATACAGAATCGACCGAGGAGATGATATCTGCTAGAGAGGAAACGGGGAGCAGTGCTTTACACCCCCAAACACACGGGCAAAGCTTGTGTCTCCCAGGGTTCCCTGCGCCTTGAGGGCAGCAGCACAGCCCCTGCCCGGGGGTGTGGCCCTCTCTCCTACATCCTGGGTTTCACTGTGGAGGAAGGAAGTCCAAATCCTGCTCTTCTCTTCTCTCTGAAGGTGAGCACAGCTCCCCAGGGACCAGACGCCTGATTTTCTTCTGCTTGAGGTACACGGTCACTGGAGTTGAGGTCCTTTTCAACAGCGGCCACTCCTGCTCCTCCAGCTCCTCCTTCAGATCTGCGCTTCTTGTCCTGGACGCTCTGGAGGAAGCGGCAGGGTAAGAGCAAGGAGCGAGAGGTGAGCCCAGCGCCTGGCCGAACCAGAGCGAGGCAAGGCGGCTGCCCACTCTCTCCCTGCCTAAATACTGTCATTTTCCAGAAAGGAGCCAAGCCCAGCTCAGCAACTACCAAGGCCGAGGCGGAGGGGTGGGGGCGAGGGGAGGCATCCGGCGAGAAAGGCATCCTTCGGAAACACGCCGGCCTGGTGGCGGTGGCATTCTACAGCTTCTCTATGCGTTCCTTACGGATCAGTCCTCTTTGCCTGTCTTTGCAGTTTCCTGGGGGAGAATCCACCTATTCTTGCTTTTTCCAGGGACATTTCTTCAAAAGGAAAAGAAAATGGAGACGTTGGGTCTGGACGGGAAAATGCACAGAGCAGAAATAAAGACAATGAAAAGCCCCGTAAGCAACAGAGACCGGTGAGTGTGTGCCAGGGTCAGGGCCGGGCGGTGGGGGTGATGCTCAGGTGCCTGCGAGGCTGAGCAAGGGGCCCGGCTCCCTCAGCTGAGCACGGCCAGGGCTCCAGCTCCCCCAACAGGTGGCACCCGGGGTGTGGGGGGTCATTGGGAGGGGGCTTGTGGTTGGCTGGGTGGTCACTGGTCCTCACAGCTTGGCAGACCCCCATGTTGAACCCCCGTCCCAGGAGATGGTGGTGGCTTTGCAGTGTCTTCATCTCCCCCTCTCCCCTCCTCTCACTTGCAAAGTGGTGGCTGTGCCCTGGGGGGGGCTCCGTTAGGCCAGAGAATAGATGGCGTTGACAGGTGACGTGGCCTCTGAGCTTTCATTGCCCTCTGTCTCCTCCTTGTCCTTTTTGACTGTGTACTGGCCGATAAAGGAGCCGTCCTCATTGAACTGCCCCTCGCCGCCCTCGCCGTAGTCCACCAGGCTGTCGTCACTCTCCTGCTGCTTGATGGTGCCATCCAGGGATGTCTGGCTGCCCTGCAGGGGCTTGTTGTCCTCATCACTGGCCAGAGAAAGACAGAGAATCAGGGCCTGGCCCAGCCCAGTGCAGCCCAAAGCCAGACGGGACAGGGCTGCTGGCCTCTTGCCAAGCACCCGTGCTGCACAGCTCAGAGGACAGGACCTCAGAGACCATGCGGCTCAGCCCTCCCTCGCCCTCCCCTGTCCAGCCAGTCCCATAGAAGGGAATCTGACACCCAGAGAGGACAAGTGTCTTCTCCACAGTGAGGTGGCAAGTTGGGGCAGGGCTGGGACTGGTGCCCACGCTTCTGGACTCCTGGCCTGGGGTCCTCGCCCTGAGGCTGGGCCACCCTCGGTGGTGGGAGCAGGCAGAGGGTGGCTGCCCGATGGTGAGGCAGAGCCAACTGCTTGTGAGACCAGGTGGGATGGGAAGAGCCAAGGATGGGGCGTCAAGGAGTTGTTGTTCTAGTCCCAAGCGCATCCCTGTGTGGTTCTGCGACCCTGGGAAAGCCCTTTCCTCTCAGTGTCTTCATCAAGAGGGACTGAACTAGCTCTGACTCCATAATCTGTGACTGTCTGGAAAGGCTCTGCCCTTGACAAAAAGCAACCGTCTGGGCCTCAAAGAAAGAAACCTCTGCCCTGCTCTGTCTTGGTGTTGCTTCTCTCAGCTCTCGGGTTTATCAACAAACAGATGCTGTTGCTTCGAGCCCAGCAAGCGAAAGAGGGTGGGAGGAGGGGGGCATGCAGACGAGCATGTGAGGCCAGCCCCTGGAGACAAAGACTACGGGGCTCAGAGGATCCTGCCCGGCAGCCTGCTGAGGCCCCTGGCCTTGCCCTCAAGCCCCTTCTGCGGCAGGAGAGCTGTGAGGCTGGTAGTTAAAGTGGTGTCTGCTCCTGGGATGCCGGATACGCCCCTAGGAAGTGAGACGCTCACCTGGGCTGGCAGCTGCCCAGGTACCCCATCCCTCCCCTGGCTGGAAAACTCTCTGCCCTTTAGGCTCAGAGGCGGCGCCAGATGCTGCTGGCTGCACTTCAGAGGGGAGGTGAGCTCCCAGGCAGGAGGCAGGCGGACCAGCAGCAGGAACTGGGAATCTGGGTCCTCACAGGCGAGACCACAGTGGTGCCAGGCGGTCTGAGCAGACACATTCCCTTCTCCTGTCCCCAGGCCACTTCCTGGGTGTGCGGAAACCAAGGAAACCAACCAGCTGAGTTGCTACTAGAGTGGGCAGTGCCTTCTCACTTCTAACAGCGGTGCTGGGCAAAGACAGCTGTGAGGGGAGGGCCGAGCGCCAGAGCAGGAGGCGCTGGGCGCTGGAAGATGGACAGCTACGAGCCCACTCCCCCTGCGCCGTGCACATTAGTGGCCCACTGTGCTCTCTACTGCAGGAGAGGCGGCCCGAGAGGAGGAAGTGGGCCTCTGAGCTTGCACTGAATTTCCAGGGAGTGGGACTCACCTTTGGGAACCACCAGATTCTCATTACCAGGCTCCTCGCCCCACCTGCTAGACTTCTCCACAGGCACTCCCTCCCCAGGGCCCTCCACCCGCCCTGCAGGAACACAAGGACTGCGTCTGTGTGACTCTTGGGAATTCCAGGCACCTAAGCTAAATGCAACCACTGGGCAGGGACGCCCCAGCGGGGTGGAAGCAGGGGGAAGGGCCTTGAGCGTGTCGGGTTTTTTCGGGAAAGACGATCGGGGTCTGGAAAGAACAGACCTCTCCTAAGGGAAGCTTGAAAGAAACTAGAATGACTGGGGGCCCTGGTCTAGCCACCTGTCAGCCTACCTTCCAAGAGACCTTTGAGGAATAAGTGGACAGAAAGGGAGAGAGAAGCAGAGGGAGTCCAGAGAGGGCCCCAGCAGGCAGGCCCCAGAGCGGAGCCAGGCGGGCCACTCCTCCTCGCCCCTCAGCCTGTCCCGGCTAGAGACCTGGGGCTTCCTCTGACGTGTGAATTTCAGCCCGTTCCCAGTTTCGGTCTCTTGGACTCATCAAGTGGGGGCTCTAGCATGGACGCCACAGACTGCCAGCCCCGGAGCCCGAGCCGAGGGGGTGTGTGCATGTGCGTGCGTGGTGTGTGCGTTTGTGCACACCCAGCCTCCGTCAGTGGGGCACAAGTAGGGTGGGGGGAGGCAGGTGTTTTTACCCCATAGCTTTGGTGTTTGGGAAGGAGAGGTGCCCAAGGAAGCAGCTTCTCATCGCGCAGCTTGGCTGGTCCTCTGTTTGAGGAGGTCCTCACCCTCCTCTGTGGCTGCACTGAGGGTCTGGGGGAGAGGAAGCCCCAGGGCCTTTGGAACTGACGGCCAGGGAATAGCTATCAGCCCACGGGGAAGCTGGGCTCCCAGGCGGTGCTGAGGACAGTCAGGGCAGGGGCCTCTCCTGCTTGCCCTTTTGGAGAGCCTCCTGGGGGTGTGGGGACTGGATGGATGGACGTGGTCCATAAGCCGCCAGATGGGCTGCTGCGTGGGCCGTGGCTCTGCCGCCCATTGATCTGAGCCTGCTTGCCAAGCTCCTGATGGGCACAGTGGTGGAGGAACAGGAGAAGATAAGGAGGGGCCAGGGGAGAACAGGGGTGACTTGCCCCAGACAGTAACTGGGTGGGGCTGGAGAAGGGGGCCCTGGTCAGAGCCTTTCCTCCCACCCCACTTGGTCTGGGGAGACATCCATGACCCACCCTGCATCATTCCTTAACTCAAACACACTTGCCATCAAAATGGACAGATTACAACTTTGTTAACCAGATACAAAGGGCTGCCCAGATCGGGGAGGGATCATGGGTATAGGACAACGACAGGAGCTGGAGTCGGGCCGCTGGCCTCTCCAGCTCCGCCACCAGCTCACTGGGTGGTGAGTCGGGGAGTCTTGGGCAGGTCACTTCCTGGTCTGGGCTTCTGTCCTCTCATTTGGGGCAGGCACTAGGCAGAGGCCTCTCTAAGGCCTATTGTAGGCTGGAGCCCAGAGAAATCATTCAAGTTCATGAGAAAAGGCCCAGAACACACACCTCCCCAACACCACTGCCCTTCACCCCTCACCTAGCCAAGCCTCTAAGAGAGCATGGCCTCTCCCCCTGGTCATTATCTTCAGGGTTAGGGTGAGAGGAAGCTGAGAGCTGAGCTCATCTCACAGCATGGGGACCCAGGGCTCGCTTTCAGAGTGGATAGATGGAAACAGACATATGAGGAGCTCAATAACCCTGAGCCGTGCAGTTGAGTGAATGAAGTACTATACATCGAATGGGTGTGAGTGTGTCAGGTGGGGTCCCTCCTGGGGGGGTGGCAGGCAGCCTTGTTGGGCACAATCGGGACAAGCAGGCGCTGTCATAGAGGCAGAGGTGACACCCGGCGGGGAAGGACAGCCATGCAGTGGCCTCTCAGCCCAGCCAGCTGCTCTGAGGGGAGGGGCCGCCTCAGGGCGGGGAGGACAGCCCACCTGACAGGCGCTGGGTGCGAGCAGGAGCCGCAGAGGTCACGCACCTGTAGTCAAAGGAGCCGTCCTCTTCTTTGGGGTCTTCAGGGCCGAGGGGAACGTCCTTCTTCTCTCGCACTTGATCAAGAAGAGAAGCAGACACAGACCTGATGACTAAGGATGCCCGTGCCCTGCAGGGCCCTGATGCACAGCCATAGGACACCGCCTTTGGGTTCAGTGACCCTCCCTTCCAGTAAGGCACCATCGATGCCTCTCTTGTTCTTGCTTCCCACATTTAATCAGCTGCCACATTGCTCCTACCTCATCGTCGCTGGGGTTTCCTTACCTCTCTGTTGGTGACTAAAATCTCCTCCCACCTGGTTCCCCAGCCCATCTCCATGAGGTCTTCCCCAAACACCCCATGGCTGTGGTCCTTCCCTTGGCATCTTTCCTATTCTGCTCTGTATTCTAATTATTTGTGCCTGTTTCTTATGCCTATAACAATGCCAGTTCTTTCCTTGAGGGCGGGGAACTGTGTGTTTCTTCTGAGCTCCTGGCAGAGCCCCGCCCAAATCCCGGCACCGGGCAGAAAGGACACTGCCGACACCTGTGGAGTGGAAGGCGCTCTTGTACCTGTGCCCACTCGTGTCTGTGTGGCAGCCTTTCCCCACACCTCCTGTGACTGTAAACACCCACCCAAGGCCTGTCCTGTGCTGTGACCTTCCTTCTGTGCCGGCTGCAGTGTCCTTCTGGGAGAGATCCCCTTGCCTTCTAGTGTCCTTACACGCAGCACAGAGCCTTTATACCACAGACACTTCCAAGAGTGACTCCTTACGTATCCTTTCTGAGGTACAAGGCAGGAAGTCACCCCCATTTTAGGCGAGGGAAACTGAGGCCTTGAAAGGTGAAGAACGCGTCCCGCAACTAATTAGCAACATTCAGTCGGGAGCGACTACTGGCGGTGGGGCCTTGCGGCTCCGGTTCACTCACCTTTCCAATGGACTAGGGGCTGACCTGGAGCCGGAGGGAAGGAGGTAACTGTAAGAAGAACTTTCTGGAATGGGACACCGTCTAAAGGGACAAGGAAGGCTCAGAGTTTCTTTGATGAGTTCCTTGGTGTTCCAGTTCCAGCTGGAAGATGGCGTACTCAATAAGGCCACCCTTCTCCCTAACTCTGGCTTTCTCTCTCACAAAAGAAGAAGAGTCCCACACAACACAACAAAGTGAAAGACAACGTCACTCATCAAAAGGAACCGCGGGGGGCTGGCCCAGAGGTGCAGCGGTTAAGTGCACACGTTCCGCTTTGGCGGCCGGAGGTTCGCCAGTTCAGATCCCGGGTGCGGACATGGCACCACTTGTCAAGCCATGCTGTGGTAGGCATCCCACATATAAAGTAGAGGAAGATGGGCACGGATGTTAGCTCAGGGCCAGTCTTCCTCAGCGAAAAGAGGAGGATTGGCAGCAGATGTTAGCTCACGGCTAATCTTCTTCAAAAAAGAAGGAACCGCAGTGTCCTGCCCTCCCTCTCAGGGGCCTCCCTCCGTGACATGAGAGGCACGACTCTTCAGAATCCTGGGGTCTGAGGGTACCAGTGAGGGGGAAGGAAACAGAGTCCCCTCTCTCTGAGTTGGGTTTCAGGGGTCCTGGAAGAGGACTTGCTCACAGAGATGGGGAGAAGCAGGCACCTGGGGCGCTGGGGTGTGCCTGCTTCGGGGGCAGGGAGCTATTTCATTCTGCAGACAGGAGGATTTTCACTCTCAGGGTCATCTGTCATCCTGTCTCCTGTGACCCCACCCACCCCATCGCAGACAGATGGCTTTCTTGCCCCTGTTTGGAAAACAATCAATATTTCTAGAAACAGGAACGCCAGAGGTCCTTGTCCTTGACCTTGGATTGTCTGGGCTGGAGAATGCTGAGGCCCACAGAAGAGGATGCCTCTCTGGGTCTCTAGGGAAACCCCAACCCTCTCAGGGCCGAGGGGTGTACCAGACAACCCTCAGCCCCTTGCCGCCCCTCACACAGAAGCTTCTGCCTGCTAGGGATGTGTGGCTGCAGCCTAGGCATGTGGAGCCCAGCTCTGCAGGCCCGGCGTCTGCCCCCGCCCAGACCGCTGCTCACTCCCTTCTCTCACGGTGAGAGAAAATGCCTCTCTTCCTTCCTCCTGCCCTGGAACACAGGATCCTAATAAGATTCAGGCTGAGAAAGCCCACTGACTGAGCAGATGGGTGGTGAGTCAAGGGGAGGGCAGGTCATCTTAACAGTAGGGTTCCTTCCCCCCGGCCCGAGCTGCCTGGACCGGGCCTCCAACCACCTCAGGGGAGGGTGGTTAACTCAAGCTGCTTGCTGGCAGCTCTAAGACGCAGAGTACAGGCAATAGGACTGTATTCCCCAGCTTGCCAAGGGTGGAGCTCCCCCGAGACCTGGTGACTCACAGGGTAGCCCGCCAGCCCCTCCCCCAAGCCCACGCCTCGACACAGCTCACCTGGGTACTTGCCGCCTCGACTCCTCTTGATGAAACAGACGATGAGCAGAATCAGCACCAGGAGGGCGATGGCGCACATGAGCCCGATGAACCAGCCCTGGGTGGCGATGTCCGCCTGGTTGTTGGTGTAAGCTGGCGGGGGCCAGAGCAGACACGGTGACGATTTTGCGTGGGGGAGGGTGGGGGGGAGAAGCGGGGAACAGCTTCAGCTACTTCACGTCGAGGTTCCTCCCGGAGCCTAACGCTACCACCTAGCAGCCCTCTGGTCCAAACTACCCGGCTACGGGGTCAAAGGAAATAATGAAAGCGCCAAGGTCAAAAGGTCAGAAAAGAGGCAAAGGAAAGGGATGCAGGCAGCAGAATAAGCGGCAGAAGGCTGACAGGAGGTCCAGCAAGAGGCAGTTTCCTAGGGATCAGGCGCGGGCCCCCTCCGTCCCAGTGGTGGGGATTGAGGGGAGGCCAGGGACCGGCCGTGGAGGAACCATCCCATGAAGGAGCCCAGGGTGAGAAGAAGGAGCCTGCGCGCCGCCCCTGGCACGGCCGGCCCACTGCGGCCCTGTTCCTGGAGCCCCTTCACGGGCCTGCAGGCCCAGAGCAGCACCTCTCCCACAGCATGGCCGAAGGCAGCCGGGCTTCCTGGCAGTGGTCCTGGGCACGGTGTGGTTCCGGGTGCCTTGTGCCCTCTCGCTTCTCCCCAGCTGGATGGTGAGCTCCCTGACGGCAAAGACAAGCCCTGGGGCATACCCCTGGACTGGCCAGCAGCGAGGGTGGGTCAGGGCTGTGCCTTCAGCGCACCCCACGCCACCTCGAGACCACTTCCACACGTGGAGACCCCCTGTGCCACTGAGTCCCTGCCTGGAGCGTGTGGAGACCTGTCTCAAAGTGGGAGACTCCTCTGTGTTTTGGGGCACGCGGTGGGCCTGGAGCACAGGGGCTCAGGGCCATCTGAGGCATCCTGGTGGGCCCAATGACTGGGGACAGGGCTCAGGAGGGGTGTGGGTGGGAGGATGCACCCACTGCTCTCCTTTCTGTGGTCTGGAGAACAAAAGCAACACACAGCCTGCCATGGAAAACCAGACAGAGGAGTGGAAGGATCAGAGCCGCAAAGGCACACGGCGAGGAGGGGGGGTGGAGGAGGAGGAGGAGGAGGAGGGGGATGGGCGGAGCAGCAGAGCTGGGCCTCGCGGTACTCCAGGGCCCTTGGCACATGCGGCACGGGCAGGCAGGTGTCTGGAGCAACCCTATTGGGGGCTTCTTGGGTGCAGAAACTCTTGACAGCTTCCCAGCACCCCGCCAAAGGCAGAGCACCAAGCAGGGTCCTGCAGGGTGAGCACTCTCCGCACTGGCACTCTCCCGCAGAACACGTGCCCCGCAGGCCACTCCCCATGTGGCATCACAGACATCCTCCTCAGACCCTGCGTGGGGTCACATCACTTCCACGCTTCAGCCCTCTGATGCTTCTCCTTGCTGTTGGGGAAAGACCTGCATTCCCCGTCCCGACCTGTCAGGCTCCATCCCAGCTGGCCCCAGCCACCTCTCTGGTCCTGTCTCCCACCATTCTCCCCTCACTTTCTGTGCTCCAGCCTCACTGGCCACTCTCATTCCTGCCTCAGGGCCTTTGCATCTGCTGCTCTTTCTTCAGATGGCTGCCCCAGCAAATGCCACCTCCTTCTCAGAGAGGCTTTCCCAGACCTTCCCGGCTAAAGCAAAACCCTCTCCCCAACCAGTCAGTCTCTTTCTGAGGGCTCTAAGTTATCTTTTTCACGGCGCTTGTAACCATTTGATATGGTTCTACTACCAACAGTTTACACTCATAAGCACTTCCTGTGGACTAGGCACTGCTCCAAGTACCTTTCCACTGGAATCTAATTTAATTCTTACAACCCCATAAAGTGGGTTTTTATTATTACCCATTTGACAGATGAGGAAACTGAGGCACAGAGAGGTTAAGCGATTTGCTTGAGGTCACAGAGCTAGTAAGTGGTAGAGTTGAGATGTGACCTCAGGCTGTCTGTGCTTTGCCACTCTACTTTAGTCCCTCCTCCCAGAAAGTAAGCTCCTTGAGGGGGAACCGTGGGTTTACTGCTGTCTCCCCAGTGCCGGGATAGAGCCTTACACACAGGAGGCACTCGGGTCACATCTAATCAGCGGAAGAACGCTCGACGGCCTTCTGGTCATTTGTCCGCTCCCCCCCTCTTGGCCTGATGGGGCCTCTGCTTATCTTGAGCTCCACACCATCCCCCTTTCGTGTCGCCCACTTCAGCACGCAACTCCCACGACGCCTGCGTTTTCCCGCTCTTGCCACGAGCCCTGCTGGAGGAAGATGCAGACGCAGGCCCATTGCAGAGGCACCATGTTCTACTTCAACTGGCCTCTCGCTGCCACCTGGCAATCCTTTGACTCCTCTCTCTGTCCCCCCTAAACAGCTCCTCCCTCCCTCTCGTGCTGCTCCCCCATTACCTCCTCCCTCTGTCTGGGCAGGCGGTGGACCCCGCCTACCCCACCTCGCAGCCTCCACAATGTCCCTTCCTCCTGGACCAGGGAAGGCTCTCCTCTCCTCGATGACGAGGCTGTGCTCGCCTCAGCGGTGGGACCCAACACCTCCCTTCCTTGACGGCTCAGTCTGGTAGGGTCTCCAGCTCTCTAGCCTTTTCAATTTCTTCCTCTTGACTGCCTCCTCCCTTCTGCTATTAAACACATTGAAGCTTCTGTATCTTAACACAAAATCCCCGAGGGACCTGCCAGACTCTTCTGCTGCAGCTGACGTGCTGTCCTTTGACAGGTCAACTCCAGAATCTTCCACCGTCTCCAGGTCCCGCCAGCTGCTTTCTCCGCCCCAATGAACTAACTTCAAGCCTCCCACGCTCCCTGCTTCCACTGTCCCCACGGAGTGGGTCTTTCCCAAACCTTTCTCTCCATCCTTCTCTCTTGCCTTCACCTGCCCTCCAGTCCTGACTTTCCCACTGGCAATCCCTTTATTCACCTCTCATTGTCCCTCCAGCCAGATCCACAGTAAGCCCAGCACCTCCTCCTGACTGCTCCTTGGATGGTCTGTTGGTCTGTCTGAAATTCAGCCTGTGTCTTCCTGCACCCCTCCACCCCGCCTTCTGCCAGTGGCTTCCCTCTTCTCTCTAAGGGCTATCATTTCTCCTTCCAAAATGCTTCTCATCGTCACCTCACTGCTCCATTCCAGAGGGATCTCCTCACCCTGTGCCTATCAGACCCCAAGGACACAGTACGTTCCTGGGACGCTGGCATGGCGCCTGGCCTCCATGCACTCTGGTCTTCCTCTCCCCCCTCCACATTCTGCCCTCCTTCCTGAAGCTACGATTCCTTCAGCTCACATCAATCTATGAACTCTGATTTCACCCCCATTTACTCCATGCAACCTAACATTCAATTGCTCTGTTTCCTGGGTCCTCATTTCCAATTATACTATTAAAGGTTTGTGAACAGGGGATTCTCTGAGCCCCAAGTACTTAGCATGATGCTGGTCACATCACAAGTGGTCAGTGACTACTTATTGATTAACAATCAGTTTAATCTCCTTATAATACAGTTAAACATCAGGTAGGGCTTTCGTTTTTCTCCCTGATACCCACTAGGTGTCAAAGGGATATTGGCTTGACTGTGTGCCACAGCTGGGCACCACTTCAGCCTGTGTGTGGATTGGGGTCCCACCCTGTGCAGAGAGGCTGGTTTGTATGTCTGCAGTGACCTGTCTGCTCTGCCATCTTCCTGAAGCATGTTCTGACACCCCCTGACCGCCATCTCCAAGAGATTCCCTTCTCTTGGGAGAGAAAGCGGCCATATGCGCCATCTAGAAAGTAAATGTAGCTTTCCACGGTGGTGTCAGGACAGCACCAGTGACGTTCCACTGCTACCTTCAGTCCTTACTGAAAAAGGCCAAAGAATTTTCTGTGAAGGACGGACACAGAAGGCTGTCCAAACCAAGTGGAACCGGGCGGAAGGCGGCCTCAGTCAGACCCCATCACAATGATGTGGCTTGCCAAGAACCACAGAAATTTAGGACATGATGATCTCACTCACAACGTGACCCACCCCCGACCCCCGGCGGGCTCTGAGTGGTGGAAGGCATGTAGCAAGGCGTCAGGGCAGCCATGTCTGCCTGCCAGCGCCATTCCTAATCTGTAACCGATCTGTTCAACATGCTTGAAGATCCTAATGGACACGGTCACACCAACATTCAAAGCCCAGGCGCACTCACACGCCCACCTCCCCTGGCACCAGCAGGGGCCAGAGCAGCGCCCGCTCCTCAGCCCCCGGGCCTGGCAAACAGGCCCAACACCTCTCTTGACTGGAGGTCAGATTTGTGTGCCTCCGCACTGCCCCACCCCACAGTGCCCATGACTCCTGACTCCAATCGAGAAATTTGGTTTGCGCACGGAAGACAGGCCAGTCATTCCACACTGGCAGAAGAATTCTGCTTCAGATATAGGGATAGATGAACAAATGTAACAGGGACGGACTTTCTTCAAATGCAGCCCGGCTTGGCTGCCTCACCGCAGTGTCATTTTACACTCCTCGCTCCGGCCTGGGTTTCTCCCAGACGCAGCAGAGAGAGGCTAACGACATTAGACCCCTAGTGTCCCTTTCCTTTCTTGAGGTCTGAAGCAGGTTGCCACCCTTCTTGCTGGCCCACCATCAGCGTGTCACGCTGCTGCCTCAGCCCATCCCGCCACCCAGGACCTGCTGGAGTCCAGGGGTATGTGTCTGTGGCCCCTCCGGTCTCTTTGGCTTCAAAAGCTTCAGGGAGCTGATTGACTCCCCGTGTGGGGTCCTTCTGCTGAGGCTCGGGAGCCTGTGAGCACTCCTGGTGGCTTCCTGCCATTTCCCTCCTGAACCACTGTCACAGGTTTGAGTCTGTGGACTGAAGCAACAGCCTGTGGTTGCCTAGATGACAAGTGGCCGGGCCCAGAGATGCTCACAAACTCTTGCTCCGAGGAGACACAGGGACCTGGGGGGTTGTGTGAATCTAGCTCTGGAGTCCACCCACAGGAAACACAGCGTGCATTTTTGAAGGATCTGGACACACACTCGCAGGCACGTGCAAGCTTCAGAAAGTGAAAATATTTTCTTTCCCTATGTGGTTTGCAAATAGAAATTTACTCAGAGCTAGGGTCATAAACCTGCCCATCCAGCTCGCACTGGGAGGAAGCCAGGAGAACTCTAAGTGCAGAGAGCCTTGCTCACTCAGTTGTCAGGCCGAGCCTCTGCAAACCAAGCGCAGGAAAAGAGAGACGAGCGTTTGAGTGGACATTCAGAGCGTGTCCTCCACCATCACTGGGTTTTTTCTGTACTGCGTGTTCGATATGTTGCTGCGCATTAGGACATCCCTGAGGGCAGCAACTGGTCCTTTTCTCTCTGGCTCTTTCTCCCCAGTCCTCACCCATGGCTCCAGGGCTTAGCCCTGGGGGAGGTCAAACTCTGAAAGCGGGCTGTGCTGGCTTGTGCAGCATCCCTAGGATGGACCTCATCCCAGACTCGCATCTTTGCTTCCTGACTCTGCGCTGGACTCGCGTTTGTAATACAGCAAAACCAAATGCACGCACTGGTGAGCAACAGCTTGGGACCCCGACTGGGTGAGACAGGGTCTAGCCACCTGCTCCACTTGGTCAACTGTCCAGTTCCCTTGCCTGGCTCCCAAGATGGCCTGGCCACTCACACACATCCTGCCTGAGTTGGCCTGGCCAGCCTCAAGCAGGCAGCTGGACTCTTGGACTCCCTGAGTCTTGATGGCATGGACATACACAGGACAGGCGGAGACACAGGCAGGACAGGACGTCCAGACCAGGAGGGACCAGGCTACAACGGGTGGAGTGAGCATTTATGCAGATGGGCAGTTACTCTCAAGATGCAAGCTGGCAGGGTTGGCCTCGGCAGGCCAGGCACAGGGAGGGTAAAGAACAGGTAAGTCAACATTCAGACGTTCATGCAAATCATCGTGTGTTTCTTCTCCATCCTTCTGTCTATTAACCTGCATCTGATTAGGACATGCCTGGGGGTAGAGACCGGTCATTTTCTCTCTCACTCTCTCCCGGACCCTTGCCCTTAGCCCCAGGGCTTAGCATAAACTTGGCCAGCCCGCCTGGCAGATTTTAAAGATGTACACAGACAAGCAAGTGCCCTCACATCTCCAGCCTGCCAGCCACCCCGGCCAGCCACCCTGACCACCAGAGAGATTTCGGAAGCTTGTACCCTTTACTGAGCCCCCCGTGGCCTGCTGATTTTGCACAAGGAAGATGCTTCTCCATCACAGCTGAAGCCCCTTTAGAGCCAGAACTAGTCCAGCGCTGGAGGGCTCCTTCCCCTCCCCAGCACGGCAAAAGGCCAATTACTGTTAAGCAGTGACAAACTTGGGACAAAAGTTAAATCGAAACAAAGCCCCAAACAACTCATGTCATACACTTTGGAATTTTTCAACAACAGGTGACAGTGGCAAGGCAGTGACATACATGCTGATCCTGTTTGGTTCCTGGGGAGATGTCTGGGTCAAGACCCTTGGTGATCCTGTCCCCTCATCCCACGTGCAGGAAGCAAACCCCTGTGTCTATGGGGCAGGCTGTCCTGCACTCAGCAGGCCCCAGATTCACACACAGGGACCAAGTTTGCACATACACCAAGTCCTTTTGTTTCAAGCACCGTGGGGGCTGGGCAGTCTCCGTCCTCATTCTACAATCCTCCCATTTCCTCTGACTCCCTACGTATCCCCAGAGAGTCAGAGCGTGGCGTCCTCTCCACTGCACATGCACTCCTGGCTCCTCTCGTCTTCCTGGGAGCTGTAGACTGACACATAAGAGCTGAGACACGCCATGCAAGGTGGGGAATGGCGGCGAGGATCCTGCTTTCCAAGGAAGAGAGACAAGCAGGACGCTGAGGATGGGAATGAATTGCCCCATGCTTGTAGGGGATGGCCAGGCCAGATCCCCTCTCACCTGTACTGGTCATAAAGGTGATGACGGTACTGCTGATGCCCTCGTTGTCCCGGGAATAGACTCGCAACGTGTATGTCATCCCGGGATAGAGGTCTGTCAGCTGGACAGGCTGCGCCTGGGCCTTAACAGGGACACTTTTTTTCGTATGGTTGCCTGGGGAACAGAAACCTCAGTCAGCTAAGGCCAGGCACCAGCTGCTGGGGAGGCGGTGCTTGGGGTCCTGGTCACCTGTCAAAAGCAGACACATGGGAGGAGGGGCCAGGGGTCGTGGGGCCAGGCCCTCGCGCAGACCAGGAGGTCACCAGGCAGCTCCACCACCAGCCCTTCCACACAATGCTAGCTCTCCTACACGATGGCCCCTCAGCTGAGGACACTACGCCTGCCCCTGAAGTTTTCTTTCCTTGCCACAGTCTTAGCACTACACACATTACCATCTACTTCCTTAAGCTCCCAGCATGTCAGCCAACGCTCTGTTATCCTGGAGAGGGTCAGAGAGCCGTCAGCATCTCTCATGGCACCTGGAGGTGAGATGGGACCCTGCTTCTTGGCTCTCACACTCGGTTTCGCCTCTCATTTCTCGCTGCGTGGAGAATTCACACATCAGCGGCAGTGAGTACCTGTGTGTCTGAGGTGTAGGGTGAACGGCGCTGGCAGAAAGATGGAAAAGAGTGGACCAAACTAGGGGTTCAGATTCTGTGGACGGGATTCCCCCTCCAACCACAGAGAACTGAGAGCTGGCTCGGTTCTTTCCTCAGAGACAGTCGGGTGGCTAGCCCAGGGGGAACTCAGTGGGTTTCCTGGCTTAATTGCTCAGAGCATGTGCCAAAGAGGCCTCATGGTGCATGTGACCCCTCAGAACCAGGGGCCTGCACTCAGAGAAGGTGGATATCCTGACTACACTCTAGTCTTCTCCTATCTACACTCTTGGTCCCAAGATCCAGTAAAGAGTGAACAGCTCAGCTCAAGGCAGGAGCTCAGAGAAAACGACCCTGGCTCATGCCTCTGCTGTGGGCCACTGGCGTCCCTCAGTGAGCAAAGCACACTTGTACCCAAGTCTGAACTGGCCCAGCCTGTCTAGTGGAGACCAGAAAACATGGATTCTGAGTTAAAGAGATCCATGCAGAGGTGAGATTTGGCTCATTTTGGGGTAATTCAGATCTCTCATCTTGGGCAGGAAGTGGATGGAAGGTCCCACCACCGAGGACCTCCCCAGCACACACGACCCTAGACCTCCAACAGCTTCTGCAGCTCCTCCCGTCCCTGAGCCTGCTCCTCCACCCCTCCTGTCCCTGAGCCTGCTCCTCCACCCCCTCCTGTCCCTGAGCCTGCTCCTCCACCCCTCCTGTCCCTGAGCCTGCTCCTCCACCCCCTCCTGTCCCTGAGCCTGCTCCTCCACCCCCTCCTGTCCCTGAGCCTGCTCCTCCACCCCTCCTGTCCCTGAGCCTGCTCCTCCACCCCCTCCTGTCCCTGAGCCTGCTCCTCCACTCCACTCCTGTCCCTGAGCCTGCTCCTCCACCCCTCTCCTAGCCCTGAGCCTGCTCCTCCATCCCCCTGCTCCTGTTTCTTGAGCTTGCTCCTCCGCCTCACGCCACCTGAGCGCATATCGATTTCATTAAGCCGTAATTAAGCCGGGCTAAGAGTCCTCTCCGAGCCGGAGGGAGTCCACAGGATCGCTTTAATGGCATCTACACTACCCGCCACAGCTGCCGCCGCCGCCACCACCACCCCACACAGCAATGCTTACTGTCGATGTACTCAACCACAAAGTCAGTTCCGGGCCCGAAATTGTGCTTCCAGGTGATGTTGGCCCATTTACTGTTGGGGAGCACTGTGACGTTCCATATGGACTGCTCGTCCGGGGCTGGTGGGCAGGTTAGAAGAGGAGTTAGTGGTGAGGAGGGAGGCAGTGCTGCAGACAGACAGACAGACAGACACACACACGGGTGGCTAGGAAAGGGGAGAGCCAGAAGTGGCTGTGCACAGGGCCTGAGAGAGCTCCAAGCTGCAGCCTTGGTGGCCAGGCTGGAGGTTGCCGTCCAGGTATGAGCAGGTGCAGCCAGGAGGAGCTGTATGTGAGGGAGAGCTGGAAATGTCTGTGTGTTCACACAGGTGGGGGTAGGAATGAAAGAGCGGGTTTTGATCCATGCCACTGGGGGCTCTAACCTGGGCATATTCCCTTTTTAGATCCCTTGTCATGGATTTGAATGGTGCAGCAAAAGGGGCCAGGAAAAAGCCCTGTTGGCTAGGACGCAGAGGGGGCAAGATGTGCCAGCCTCTTTCCCTTCAACCAGACGTTCTACAGGAGGGAGAGAGGTATCTTTAAAAGCCACTTGAGAGTCACGTGAGATATGCAGGAAGGACAAGACCAAACATGGGAGAGCTTTAATGGGCTCCTGAAACTGAAGGAGAATGGGAACCCAGACAAGTGACTCTGGTCCGAGCAGCCCCCTGGGGCCATTCTTGGTCACCAAGATCCTGGATTATATGGAAAATGGCCTCAGCGTGTCTAAGGGGACTTGGGGCCCAGAACTCCAGGGTCCCAATAGAGACAATATGAACCCTCCGTCCTCCTCTCATGGACCAGGTGGGACCAAGAGAAGATAACTCCTCCTTGACATCCAACCCTCAGTGGTCCGGACGCCAGAAGAATCCTGTTCTGTTGGGTTCTCAGCACTATAGCCTTTGAGGCTTGATCTCCGTGCAACACAAAAGACATTAATTATCTCGTCCCTATGAGCGGGGAGCCACTTTATCAAAGCCATCGTGCCGTCTGAAACCATAGCCTGTGGACAGGAGAATGGCTCTAATCTTCAAATGCAATCATTCTTCAAGAGTCCCAGCAGTCTGATTACCCCATTTCCCAGCAAAGATTTAATAGTGGAGTACTAGCGCGAAGCCTTGTATTTCAAAGACTTTACAAGTGTGGCTCCTGTATATTTTATCAGCATGCAAGGAGGCACTGTCACCAACTCACTTGTCAAAAATAAGTGAATAGAGTGCATTGGTGATGCATTTATTCATTATCTATTCGACATGTGACCGAGTCTGCAGGGCTGGGGAAGTGATAAAAGATCTCCTGGTCTTCCCTTCAAAGAAGTGCTTTCTCTTACTACAACCTTGTCAGTTGTGGGGTGCCCGAGGTGAATATGATTCATGTTAGGTGTGGGGCCAAGAAAGACATCTCGCTGATGGCACCACAGGGCGTTCTCCATGGGGAGGGCGGAAGCCAGCTTTTCGACTCATCAGCTGCACGTTTCCATTGTCCTGGCTGCTTCAAGCCACCCCAACCCCAGCTCCTTGCAATCTCATGGCTCTTGCGAGTGGGAATGAATTGAGATTAGTCACGATTTGGGGACTTGAGTTTCCTCTTCCTCAGCTCTGGGCCCTGGAAATAGCCAGAGGATTTGGGTTTAAATGGTTTGGCCACCAATACAAATACTGACCCAAATCTGTGTTGAAGGCAATGGAGACTGGGGCACTGTTAGGAAAGGCCAGGCCACGGGAAACCAAACGACTCAGAGGCGGGAGTTGGAGGAAGGCACTGCCATACAGACAGACCAAGACGGTGGCCACGGAAGAACTGAAGCTTTCAAAAAGAAGGACCAGGAAGGAGAGCCATCAATGACTCCACAACCAAAAGGGTGAGGGAGGGCAAGTGGGGATTGTTCTGCTGGTTCCTGGAATGTGCGAATTAAGGAGTATTCCTTGAAATCTGAGAGACACAAGTTAAGGACAAATAAAAAGTCCCATTTCCCCCTGAAAAAAGTAAACTTAGGAAAAATTTTGTCCTAAGGTGTAAGACATGACAAAGATGAAAATTCATTTTAGAATCTTGGGCAGCAGAGCCATTCTGCTGGGGAAGGGAGGTGAGGATGTCAAGGGGTGGCCCCAGCTCTGAGGATAAGGCCAGGGGCATAGCCAGGCCTCCACAGCATCTCAGGCACCGTCAGAGCTCGGGCATGACAGTCCCGGGGCTAGTCCTATGTGGCATCAAGGCCCATCTCTCCAGAGGGCAAGTCACTCCACAGAGAGCAAGAGCCACTGCCCTCCGCACCTTCTGTGCGTCCATCTCCCTTGTGAGCTCGAAGCAGCAACGGGACAGGGAGCCCCACTGCTTGCAAGAGACGCCTCCCTGCCGCCCCAAAGAGCACCCACCACCAGACTGCGGGGGCAGCGTCTTGTAGCCCGGCAGGCTTCTCCTCAGCCAACTTCTTCCCAAGGGCATGCCATCTAAATTCTAGGTATTGCACCTTCAAAGCAAATCAGTGTTTTCAAGGACTCAGGAGCATGTCAGCCACACACCACCTGTCTCCCCTACAGCTCACATGACTCCAAATGACCGAATTAAAGACGATACGCACTCGCGCATTAACCTCCATCCTCCTTCAGGTACTGAGAGAAGTGGGTGGGGTGGGAGACGGCGAGGCCTCGGAAGGTGGAGGGTCTCGCCCAGGAAACAAGGGGCCTACAATTCTACAGCTACTGGAGGAGGGTTCTGGGTGCTTCCTGCCAGCCCTCGGGCTGCATCACTGATTTTACACCTGGCCTGTGGGCTCTGCAAGCTAGAGGCCCGCCCCTCCCTGGTGATAAAAGAGTGTTTGAGGCTGGTTCTTAGAGGGATCACTGGATTCCCGAGGGGCCTCCTCACGCTGGAAGTACAGAGCTGCCTGGCTCAGCTGCGTGATGCAGGCCAGTCCTGGGGCTGATTCTTACCAGGGCCCCTAGAAAGGCTGCGGCTTTCCCTCTCCGTGTGCATCTAGGGGAGAGGGAATAGGAGCGGGAAGAGCAACAGAGCACCTTCGGGCATTACAGGACTCCCCTGCGATGGCGTGTCCTGGAAGCTCTGGCTTTTTAAAGGAAAAGCCTGTAAGTGGACCTTGGGTTGGGGGCGGGGGGGGAGGGAGAAGCAGAGTTCTGGGAAGAGAGCTGCCAGGCATGGCCAGCCCTTGGCCCTCTATGCTGCCGGGCTGGACTCAATACGGCTGTCGTCCAGGGTAGGCCCTTTCCTTTCCCATCTCCCCCACCTCTGGAGGGCTCAGCCCTGAGGCACCCACTTGGCATGTCGTTGGAGGCAGCCCTACCATCCAGGACCTGGGGGCCCTGCCTGAGGAGCGTGGCCCTCTGCTAAAGAACAGGGATCTGAGGCTAGGACGGGGGTGTGGAGCACTGGAGAACCACCCAAGGAGTGCAGGTAGGGGTGCTCCACGCCTCCAGGCTGCCAGACTGAGAATCCAGTCATGGGTGTTGCCAAAGCGGAATCAAAGGGAGGTGTTGTCAACACCATCCCAGATGCCCCCTCCTATCTGGGGAAGCCTGCAGGTGGAGGGACGGGGGAGCGTGGACAATGGGCAGTACCGGATTCGTGTATCTTAGTCCCGGTGGTGGTGGTGGGAGGACCCTCCGTGGTGGTGGTGGTGGTGGCGGCAGTGGTTGTAGTAGTTGTGGCGACGGTGGTGGTAGCGATGGTGGCAGGTGCGACAGTTGGGATGATGGGGACTGTTGTGGCTTCAGTGGTGGCAGCAGTGACAGTAGCATCAGTACTGCTCACAGTACCCACTGTAGTCGGGGGCAACGTGGGAGGAGCTGAGAGGGAAATTAAAACAGCCAAGTCTGGTTGGTTGGGCTGCCCCCAGCCTGGACACACAGCCCCGTGCAAGGCAGGCAGCCCGGTGAAGACATGGCACTTAGTCATGAGAAGCCTCCCGCAGCATGATGGACCAGGTCAGACGGGTCACAGCAAGAGGCCACACAGCCACGGGAGTGGAAGAGAATGAAGCCCTGTGTGTTTCATTTTCTTCTCACGGTCTGCGTGGCTCCAAGCACCCAGCATGCACCCAGCCAAGGGTGAGGATGAAGGTGGGAATCGCTCAGGCCCCAGGGACAGCATGGAGTCCCAGGCCAAGCAGCACCGCTTGGATCCAGCCCTGGAGCCCTGGCCTTGGAAGCTGGTGGGCCCTGTCCTGCAGGACACCGAGGAGCCTGCCCCTGCCAGCCATCCACTCCAAGATCACCCTTTCTCATGCCTGCTTGAGTTCCACCAGCACCCAAAACAACGACCTCACTCTGTGGGGGAGCCATCCTGCCTCCACTGCTCACCTTCACCCCAGCCTCTCAGCTCTTCTTGTTTATTCCCCCGCCTCTCTTCCATCTCCCTGCCCAGTGATGGGCCTTCTTGCAACTACCCAATCCACCCTAACTTGTAGAGACTGCCTTTCTCTCTAGGACATTTGGGGTCCAGGCACCCCAGTCCTTTCTCTTTGCATCAGAGGGGTAAAGGAGCACTGATAGAATTGCTCTGCCACCGTGCTCGGGAGCACCACCTCCCCAGCCTGCAGGAGACGCGGAAACCCGGGGCTGAGTGAGATACACGCCTGGGCTCAGCAGCACCATCTCCCCAGCCTGCAGGAGACATGGACACCTGGGGCTGAGTGAGATACACGCCTGGGCTCGGGAGCACCATCTCCCCAGCCTGCAGGAGACATGGACACCTGGGGCTGAGTGAGATACACGCCTGGGCTCGGGAGCACCATCTCCCCAGCCTGCAGGAGACATGGACACCTGGGGCTGAGTGAGATACACGCCTGGGCTCGGGAGCACCATCTCCCCAGCCTGCAGGAGACGCGGAAACCCGGGGCTGAGTGAGATACACGCCTGGGCTCAGCAGCACCACCTCCCAAGCCTGCAGGAAACGCAGAAACCTGGGGCTGAGTGAGATACACGCCTGGGCTTCTTTTTGCATAAATCTTGAGGGAGGTTCAAGTCTGTGCTAACTCTCACGTCTTTATCTGCCATCAAAGCTACCCTTGGACGCCAGTCAGCCTAGGGGACTAAGTCTATCTGTGTGACAGTGTTTCCATGGGCCCTCCTTCCTTCTACAGAAGGATCGTGGAAGCTCACAAAGGGCTGCCCTATTACTTTTTAGAGCCAGTGTTGCTAGAGCTGAGGTGTGAGAAGAATGATGAGGTGAAGCAGAGAGAGAGCCACCTGTCCTCTTGGCGCTCCGTCTCCTGTCATCTGATCATGCTCTACTTTCTCGTGTTGATGCTGATGGAGCATTAGGCTGGGACATTAAGACATAAGAAGGTAACTCTTAGTTCCCAAGAATAGCGACATACCCCCTATCTCAGATCTCCAGAAGCTCAGGAAAATAATATCCACCACCCCTCCAAAAAGAGGCCAGGGCAGGGAGGAAGCCAGAGGGAGAACTGCCAGAGAGCGCTTCTCAGGGAAGAATTAAGAGCTCCTAAGCCTTCTCAACAAGAGGCTGACCAACAAAAGCCCTTTCATGCCCCTGGGCCTCCAGGATTACAAGCCCCCCAGAGAGAAGGAGGGACTGGTCCTGGGATCCCGGTCCTTTCCTATTTGTAAGATCAGAGGCCTTGCTGGGCCTGAGGGCGCTGACCGAAGGCACAGGGGCAGCTGACTACGCCCCATGCATTCCAGAGATTCCCCAAACCCCATCCACCCAGGGGAAGGCGTTGGGGTGTGGGGTGCGACAACTCTCCCTCCCAGAGTCATTCTTCAAGGATGTACTTCAGTCCAAGGTGGCCCCAGGCCTAGAATGTGAGCTCAGTGCTATAAAAATAAGCTCAGTATGAGGGAATTCGCCTATTCCACCAACCCAGACAAACGCACACACGGAAAGGCCTGAGAGACCCACAGGACAAAGGTCAGCTCTCTCCCAGGCCTGGTCCCTGGCCGCTGCCGGCTGTGGACACACAGGGACTTCCCCTCTGCTCTGTGCCGGAAGGAACCTCAAGAGGCCATTTCGTCCATGTGGGCAGGACCGCTCTGCTTAGTTCCTTATCGATAGTGTATTTCCTAATAATTCCTGGCAAAGGCAGTGTTCACAGGGTCTCCCTTTCCTATGGCTATTTAAAAGGCATCAAGAAACACCCTGTTAACTGAGATCGCCCATCTCTGTGGTGCAGACCTGGCTTCCCTTCCTCCACGCGCAGCGGGGCCGCATCCCAGGCCCTGAGTCGGTGTCAGTTCTCCCCAAACCTGCACACTGTCATGCATCCCTTGGTCCTTGTACAGACATGCACACACTCGCACTTACACAGGGTCCACAGCCAGGCTCGTACGCACTTCCCTGGCCGTTCCAGTGGGCAGCCCTAGGACCAGAGATGCTCAGAGGGGCTGGGTGAGAGCGAGCTTCTTCCTGGGCCCTGCTCGTCGGAGCCACAAATGAGAAATGACTTTGAGGGTGCTTCCACGCAGTCTCATCCCCTCCCTCTGACGGACCCTTCTGCCAAGCGTGACAAGAAGGAGGTGATGCTGCTGATGGCTACCTGAGTGCCTTTCCTCTGGCTCAGCAGCAGGAGTCTCAGGGTCTTAGTGAAAGGGTACAAGAAGGGAGTGAGAGAAAGGAGTCGCTTCTGGGCGTCCGCCCAGAGGGCACCTGTCATGAGAGTCAGCATGGAGGATGCAGCCTTAGCTGGCTGAGGTAGTGACGTTCTCTCTGACCTCTCCTTAGCTGTGACTATTGTCCCACGGCTGGACAGGCCGGGGAGACAAGGAGGCAGAGGCAAGAAGGCAAGGCTCTGAGGGAAGGGGCAGAGGAGTCAGGTGAGTGAGGGTCAGAGGCCTGGACAGGTGGGAGGGAAGGCAGGTTTTCAAACCATGGGAGACCGCCTAGGGCTCAGGTCAAAGGGGATCTGGCTGATTCCATCCCCAAGGGCAGGGTTGGCGCAGCAGATAGAAGGGGACTTGCAGACAGAGTGGCCCACAGGTTAGACAGACACACTGCTGGGCTAGGACCTCATCTCCAGCCACAGCAGGAAGTTCAGGCTGGAGAGGTGCCCTGGTCAGTGCTGGGTGGAGACTACCCGCCTGGCAACCAGGATAAGGGGGATCCAGGGTGGGCCTAGAACCGGAAGCACAGGACCCCCAGCCGAAGGCAGTGTCAGCCTGACGGGCTGCCTAACGTACCCTGGAAGGCATCCCAGCCACGGCCAAGGGTTTTCCACCTGAGTTTCTGGAAGTACCACGTAGGAGATGGAGACACTTGAGAAGAAGAGAGGTGACACGTCTCATACTCATCTTTCTGACCCCAGAGCCTGCCATGGAGCTGCATTTGCAGATCTGAGCTGAGTCAAAGATGAGGACAGCAGTTTCCATACATTCCAAGATGGAAGGTTCAGTCCAAAAATGTCCACATGGCACATGGACCACCCTGACCAAAGCACAGATGGCTCGGACAGACGGGCAGCCATCCTGAGCATGCAGATACCAGGGCACGAGAGGGGTGATCTTCACCGCGTCAGATATGAACAGATCCGTTTGGGGAAACCCGCCCGGGTTTGGAGAGGATAAGAGGGAAGGGAGCAGTGGGCCGACACCAGGCCCACATCAAAAACGCAGAACCTGGGCTCCATCGCTTGGGCCTGCAGATTGTGCAGAAGGTTCTCAAGCATTTAAAGCTCCGAACAGCTGATGTTATCAGCACATCTCATTTACAAAGAAGTGCAATGTGCCTCCACCACCATGTCATGTGGAAGCCGGAGCCTAGGACACACATTTGATTGATGCATAGAACCCTGAGCTCATTCTGCATACCATGATGAGCTTGGGTCTTTTCTAAATGGGAAGCAGGAAGTGGGATGTTTGGAATTAGACCCATCCCCCTCACAACTGCCACTCACGAGAGGGGCAGCATAGATGGATGCTGCCACCAACAAGGCAGACTCCCTGCCATCAGACCCACCTGCCTCGGGTCCTGGGGGGCCAGAATGGGGGAGGTAGACCGGGAGCTGCTTGACCACTGAGCTTCTAGTTGCTTTTCTTGGTGCCCTCCCTGTGTCTCCCCTCCGTTCTCTCTAAGCCTGCTCAGGCCACCCTGAGCGCCTGCTATCACAGTCCCAGAAGACAGCCTTATGCAAACTTGAATCTGGAGGTTAGGGTGACCCCCAGAGGGCACTGATGGCTTTATCCCCAGGCCCAGGCCCAGGCCACCTCTCTGCCTCACATCTCAGCAGAGGAGCTCAGAGGCACTGGGCCCCGGCAGCCTGAGTTACTGGGGGGATGGAAGGAAGGATGATGGTGCCCACAGATCTGGCTGGAAGAACACATGCAAACTGAAGGAAGCAGAGTGGCAACAGAAACAGAACCAACCCAAATGCAGGGGCGAGGGAGCGGAGTGGCGGGGGAACCAGATCAGCGGTGGCAGCCTCTTCATAAGTCACCCTCAGACTCCTCACCCGGTCCTCTGATTTCCCCGCTGCCTAGAGCTCGAGGAGGCTCTGTGACCCCTTGTCCCACCGCCTTTGCTCTGCCAGGGCGAGCCTTGTTCTCAAGGCTCCTCTTCACAGGAGGGCGGGGGAAGGAACCCCGGGGCCCCCTGCCTAGCTTCTCCAGCTTGAAGACAGGCCTTCTCTGAAGTTCCTCAAACCCACCACACACGAGGACTTGCGAGGAGGCCCTTGGTTAGCAAGTCATCCCCTAAGCCAGGACAAGCCTGCCCAGCACCTCTCTTCTGTGGTGCATCTGCCTCCCAGACCCCGAGAGTGGAGGCTCTGAACGCTGAGGACTCTGAGAAGCTGGGGTTCAGCCCACGGCACCCACTGAGACTCCAGGTCCTGGAGCACCTCGCCCTACCTGAGGGCATGCTCATGTGTTCACAATGACCAGAACCCATGGGAGATGGCAGAGCTGGGGCTGGGCCCCGTGCAGCATGCAAGGCCAGCATGCACCGCGTGCTCACCCACAGGTCACCCTTTCAGGGGATGGCAGCCCGACCAGCAGACAGGACCAAGCTGCCCCCACTCACGGTGCAGCATAGATGGCCACCAAATGCTGTGGACCCACTCTCTGTGCCTGAGACGTCGGGGACCCAGGTGGTTCAGGGGAAGTAATCACTCAGCTCCAGAGAAGAGGTGTGGACCCCCGGTTTGGGGGGCTCCTTCTAAGCCATCCTCCTTCTCAGTAGGGGGCAAACAGTGAGAGAAGGGAGGAGAATGTGTTTGCTCTCCTCTGGTCCCGTCCTCCACGCACATCCTCCTTGACAGCCTGGCTTCCCAGCCACTGAGAGGGTGAGTCTGGAGCATGCTTTCAGCCCGAGCCTTTCCCTCCTTCACCCTGGCTGGCCCAGGCTCCACCTGCACTGCCCATGCCATGCCCATTACCTCCGTGGCTGGTACAGTACCTGCGGTTGGAGTAGCTTCAGAACACAGCGCCCAAGAGAGCAGAGAGAGGGAGAAAGGGCAAGAGAAGGAAGAGAAAACAGAGCACAGGTAAGACCACAGGACGAGCAAGCAGAGAAGGTTCTGGCTCACACCTGACCCAGATGGTGTGGCCGGGTGCCAGCCACTGCCCGAAGGATGCCAACCGGTGTTTGGGGCTCATATTCAGCTCCTTGAGGTCTGGTATATTCCTACAGAAAACTTCCCACCTGGGTCTGGAGATGTTTCTAATACACTCTGAATTCACTCCACTCACAGACTACTATCTAAGAGGCGGCTGCAGGCACAGCCCGCCTAGAGGCTGTGTTCCCACGTCTTTCCCCAAGGGTATGTCTTTCCCTGCCTGGGGTGATCTTTATGAAGAGGCTGAGTGACCCTCCCTGATGTCAGATTGAGAGTATACGGTGTAGGTGGTGTAGGAGGACATGAACCCGCTGAAAGGATGGCTCCTGTGTCTTCAGGGCAAAGCGCTGACTAGTGTGGGGCTGCATGGGACCGGGAGCTCCCCCCACCATCTCAGCGGGGCAAGGCCAGAGCTGTGACAGACAGGAGCCCCGAGGCCCCTGTCCTCATGTCCTACTGCCCCACTTCTTTCCCACCAGTTATACTTTATGAAATAAGAAACCCACTGTGGACTGAGAACCCTAAAAGGAATTCCTGAATTTGCTGCAAATCCCTGAGATGAGAAGAAAGTCTCTCTTTGTTCCTTTGTTCCCTTGTTCCCTGGGGCTGCAAAACTGTCACTTTGGTGGTCACTGGGCTGGACAATGGGGCTTTGTTTGCCTGTTCTGTCCTGGGGTAAAGATGGGGGTTCTCCACGTATCAAGACAGCGCATCACCCCATCTGGCCAGGGCTTTGGTAACAGGCACCTATCAGCCACTTACGCAACGTCCCCCAGCCCTAATGACTGCCTGTGTGCCCAGGGCATTGGAAGGGCGCTCTGGGAGGGGAGCATATTGGGTGGCTCACTCCTGGTTTCCAGGACCAGGGAGGGATGCAGAAAGGACAGCCAGTCTTTCTCCAGCTTCTGCCCAGCCTCTCTCCCCCTGCCTCAGTGCTGGCCTGTTGGCCAGGGAGGCGTGGGCTGGGGAGGGAGGCAGGGCTGCTTACAGAGCTGAACTGGGAGCCCCGGGTAAGGCAGCAGAGGGAGCAGGGACTGTAGCCCCAGTGAAGGAAGTGCTGATGCTCTTCTGGGTTGGGGAGGTCCAATCCTGTCCATGGTCAGGCCACCAGACCTCAGCCGTCTGGGGAAAGCACTAGAACACGATAATCTGTTGTCAGCTTCAAGGATCCCTACTCACATCAGCTCTTCCTGGAAGTCTTCCCTTGCAGAATTAATCCCGTCCTCTGAGCAACCCCTACACTTTCCCCATCGAAACAGGGCATTTCCCATGTTGAACTGCAATCAGGCATTCTTGTGGCTGTCTTCCCTTCTGGACGGTGTGAGCGTTACCTCTGTATCACTTGTTTTTGGCAGCGTTGTTTGGCACTCACATTGTGAGTGCTCAAGAAACGGCTGTTGAACAGACCACTGTACTTCTGGAGAGGCAGAGGGGTTCCCCGCTTTCCTAGGGGATCTGCCAAAACAGGCTTCTACAGCCTCGCGTCCCCGAGAGGCTCCTGGAAGCCAGCACAGGCGCAGCGGGCCTGGCGCGCCCCCTGGTGGAGTTCTCAGGCAGGTGCAGCTCTGGTCAGGGTGTTAGACTTCCGGAAGATGCCAGGACGCAGGAGGTGAGCTCATTTGCTCTTCATGAAGCTGGTTCAGCAAATGGCTGTTTCCCAACTCCCCTTTCTCTCTGCAGCCTGACAACTCACCCAATTCGGGCTGCAAGGAGGGACTATATGCTCTGCTCTACTCATGATCTGGGCAAGTAGACTGAGTCAAGGCTTTTCCCCACCCCCCCGTCCCTGGCCCCACGCAGCCTTGGGGAAAGAAGGGGCACCCTCATGGGGCACTCTCAGTAATACTGCTGCCTCCCTCGACAGGTGAACACTTTCTTGATTCTGTGGAGTTCATTAGCACATTTATGTCCAACACACTTTCTTCCCCTCTCCTCCTCCTCTCCACTGTGGACTCATGCTCTCCTCCTTATGCCCCCACTAGAAGGAAAGATGACAGATGTGTAGCAGCTGAGCAAGTCAAGGCAAAGTGGGGACTCAGGTCTGACTGCAAGTCTAAGAAGGTCTGAGTTTTGCAGACACATCGCCAGAACCTACCTCTCAGCATACAAGATGGGTTCTCTCCTTTCGAGGGCTGGAGGACCTCCAGCCACATTGCCTCTGCGCCCCAGGAGGCCGGCAGCCAGGAGGCCACGTGGGTGTGCTTCTCTAGGCGTCTGAAGGAGTGGGGACCCTTCACCCCCGAGGCTGCTGCCATGCACCTACCTTCATTCGGGGGTGCTGGCGACTCCTCTGTGACAGCTTCCCCAGAGCCCACCTGCGTCCTGGCACTGAGGGTAAAGCGGTAGCGCGACACGGGGTCTGCTCTTTGCACCGTGAACTTGGTCTGATTGGGAGAGAAGTTTTCCACTATCTGCTTTCCTACTTTGGTTCCATTAACTGGGGAGAGATAGGTAAGTGGAAGTGAACTTCAGCAACGTGGACCACGACGGGTTATACAATCTGCAGCTGGAAGGAGGCAGCCTTCCTGACTGCTGGACAGGGAGCCTGTGGACCAGGCCTGTGATCTTACAGACTGGGGGACGGGAGACTCGGGAACACAGCTGGAGTGCTGGGCAAGAACTCCTTCCCGGCTCTTTGGTGACACACCAGGGTTAATACTTTCCCACTGATCTCAATATCTCTAGCTCACTGCAAGTTATGTGGCCGATTCAGAAAGATTTAGTTTATAATCCCCAAGCCTTTTTAACAAGGACAAAACTCCTGAGTTCCTTTCTTCCTTTCAAACAGATCTAGGGCAAAACCATTAGAACTTTTGATTGTCAATGCTCCTTTGTGAAAGGTCAGAGATGATTCAAAATAGCATACGGGCACAGAGTTGGCTATGAAAACCCTCAACAACACAACAGCTGGCCCTGTGAGCTTCCCAAAGAGGGATATCATCACCTACTTTAGAAGCTGAAAATTTTTCACGTGCATGGTGACACGCTCTCGAGGTGTGGTCTTCCCACCCCTGGGCCTGACGGAGTCCCTCCAAGTCCCTCGGCAGCTCCACATACAGCTGCCTTACCATAAACGGCAGCACCTTGTTAGGGTGCCTCTGAAAGTCGTGTGCACTCTTGCACATGCACTGTCTGCCCCACCGGAGGGAAGCTCCGTCAGGCGAGGAAGCCTCTGTAGGCAGTGGAGACGCTAAGAGCCCTGAGGGCCAGCTTGTCTCTGTCATTAGACTGGAACTTCCCTTTGTCTCACCCGGCCGATGACGGGAAGCTCCTGCAGGAGGAGCTGTGTCAGGAGACACCTGCCTCCCCTAATCCCAGGGGGAGGTTTTCCCATGGCCCCTCGCTCCCTCCACACCCCTAGGTGTGCTGCCTCGATTCCTTAGGAGAGATGAGAATGGGTCTGATGCCCAGACTGTCTAAGAGAAGCAAGGGCAGAACGTACAGGGCACGTATCTGAGGGTGTATCCAGTCAGGATCCCATTGGGGTGTTCCGGATGGTCCCATTCCAGGTTGATGGTCTCCAGGTTGGGCTGCCGGACTCGGAATCGCCTGGGGGCACTGGGTACTTGAGGAAGGAGGAGAGCACAGGGAGATAGGGGGCAGGAGGGGGTAGGCAGGGCGAGGAAAACACAAAGACAAAGCACAAGTATGAAGGCATTGACCTCTGGGCAACCCCCACGCTGGGTCACTGCTAAGCCAGAACCCGGAGGACGGCGCGGTGGCCAGAGCCCATCGCTGTCCAGGACGGCGTGTCCCCCAGGTCAGGACAAGCATGGCTCAAAATTCTGTCTCAATAGGGAAGAAGTCAGTCAAGTTTCCCTTTAGTAACGACCCTTGATTCAGCACGTTAGGCTCTGATGCTTAAAGACACCTCCAAGCTGGGCAGAGTCAGTCCCACGCAGGGACCAACTACAGCTGAGACTGCGGAGGCTTCGTGCAGAGGCTGCAGTGCCCAGGCCTCCCAGCAACAATGCTGGATTTGGAGGGCAGGAGAAAGAAACCCAAGATGGAACACATGGGCAGGGTGCCAGGGGGTGCGTGATGAGGAGAGGCTGATGATGAAAACCAAAACAGGGACGATGGGAAGACAGGAATAAAGAAAGCCAGAGGGAAGAGCAGAGGAGAGGAGAAGGAAAACAGGGAAGGTGGGAGTTGAGAAGGGAGGGAGGAGAAGCAGAAGAGGCCCAGCAAATGCCAAGCCGCCGAAGGAGAATGGGCAGGACGCGCCAGGGACGTGCAGCCGTCCGCCTTCCGAGCAGGGGCCTGTAAACCGGCGGCAGGCAGGACGTCCTCTGAAGGGCCACCCCACACTCAGGCCGCCCATCTCAGCAAGAGCATCTGCATCACGATGGCGAGAGAGCTCTGAAAGTCCTGGGTGCTGGTAAACGAACCAGATGCCTCTGGGTGGTCAGGGTGACTGCGGTTCAGCCTCAGGAGTCGGGCAGCCCGGGTTCCCATGGTGCCCAGGAGCGTCAGTCTGCATAGCCTGTCTGGAATTACGTCAGCAGACCGCACAGTCTTCTCCCGAGAGACAACCTCCTGCTGGGGCAGGCCGCCTCGGTGCTGGAGTGCGCTGGGGAAACGGTGGGAGCTCCTCGAGGTCACTCAGAGGTCAACCGGTGCTGTCCGTGCCAAGCCACGCTGGAGCGGCTCCAGGCCCCCGGGATCGCTACCCTTGTCCTGCCCGACCCTGAGGAGCTGCAGGTCAGACCTACCTCCTTCTGGGGTTGTGAACTCCTTGGTCTCACTGCGAGGCCCATCGCCTCTCCCATTGACCACAACCATCTCCAGCTTGTAGTTGCTGTAGGGGAAGAGGCGGGGCACCACGCCGCGGAGGCGGTCACCAGGGAAGCTGGCCTGCTGTCTCTTCTGAGACACCCACAAGCTCTTCAGCAAGCTGCTCTCTCTCCAGTAGTAGGCCTTCAGGACAGAGGCGGGCCGTGAGGGCACGGCCAGGCAGAGCTGGGTTAGTAGTTAGTGCTGGTGGTAGCGACCGGTCTTCCCTTCGCTTGCCACAGGCTCCAAATCCCAAATGACCTCATCAGTCCCGCTCAGGGCTGGTGGAGTGGCCTTGGAGTCCCCTTTCTTTAGCCACTAGTGAGTAGGAATTGGTATCAAACAAGAACTAGGGGTTTTGGTTTCAATCATTTTCTGAGCCATTTCACCCCTCTGGGGAATAGGCAAGTTGGCCAAACCTACAGCTGAGCTGCTCCATCATGAGACTGATTTCCAAGCTGGGGAACCACTTGCTCAGGGAGTCCATGCCAGAACCACAAACACGAGCAAAGGGTCCAGGCACGGAGCGCTCTGCTCCATGCTCACAGGTCGCGTCCCCTTGAGCTGGATTAGTACGGTTTAGATTGGCAGCAGGCAGGAGTGGAAAAGTAGTGGGTTACCCCAGAGGTCTGAGTACGAGAAAGGGTTGATTTAATCCTGTGAAGTCAAATGTTTCTTTTAATAGTTTGAAGACCTTTAGGGATGGGATGGTGACATGTCCAAGTCAGTGGGATGCCGGGCTGTGGGGTGGTAAGAGCTGGGGTGGGAGAGGCTGGCCTGTGGAAGGCAGCAGTGCCCCAGGTGCAGCGGAGAGACTGGCACGAGGCTCATCAGCAGTGGGTAAGGAGCTCCAGAGAGGCTGCCACACGAGCATCACTCGGGCCTCCAACAGCCAGGTAAGGAGGAAGCCCAGACTTAAGCAGGGGACCCAACGGGAGCTTTAGCCAGAAAATTCTCCAGGCGAGTAGGTTAAGGTGCAGTCAAGCGTCGGGGAAGAGTTGGTTCAAGTGTGTACATCACTGTGCCTTCACGCCCTCTTTCCGAATTCACCTCCCAAGAAGACACCGACCCCTCCGTTCTGCCCCCAATTGTCCACCAGCCAACTCTCGATGACCTCTAGTCACAGAATCTGCATTATCCCATGGCCACAGCCTCCCTCGCTTCCCAAGCAACTTTTAAATAGAGCTACTTATAAGGGAGAGCCTCGCATACTCTGCATTTCTCTCCCTCTCCCCACCTCGGGTCACCCTTTCAAGACTGAGCAGAAGCTGCTGACAGGCAGAAAAGACCAGGAGGAGCCAAGAGTCCTGACAATCCACGTGCTGGACAGTCTGGAGTTGGCTGCGACAATAGGGCAGACGTCTACACCCTTCCAGGGGCTCTGCCTGTTAGTGGGGGCTTCAGGAAATCAGATGGGGCGAGGCAAGCGGCCCGCATGGCATTAGGAGAGGGGAGGGGTGTAGCTCAGCGGCGCCTCCACACTGCTTCTGGAGACGCACGTGTGTCCACTCACGTGCGTATCACAAACACAGTGTGCTGTGTGACGTCAGCCCGAACCCACCACCCTCGCGTGACTTTCTGCTGAGCATATCTCTTGGCATATCTGTTACAGGACACATCTGGGTACATGTATTTTTTTCTGGGTAAATTTTTGAACAGCTAACCTTAGACATCATCTTCTTGAGTCAACTCTGGATCCAATAACTATCCCTAGGACCCCCTCCAAATATGTTACGGCCCGCATCTGCTACCCCCTGGCCCTGGTTAGCGAGCTGGCGGTTAGGCGGGGCTGGGAGCTGGCTTCCTCACTCGGTACTCTCTGAGCAGGCCCTGGACCGTGTCGGAGTAGACGCGGTTCCACTGAAGGCTGATGGCCGTGCTGTTCAGCACTCGGATTTTAACGTCGGTGGGCGCAGCCCTGGGATCTGCAACGTGTTGGGACAGAGAGCTGGTTATGCCGGCAGGGCCGCCGCCTGGACTCTAGGCCTCCCCTCAGACTTGCTTTCTGCTGATCTGGACAGCAGCCTACTCTGGACACTGGGTACTCCCTGAGGGCAGGGCTTGCCGCCTCTATCAGACTGTGTTTGGAGGAGTCGGGCAAGGCTCAGGACAAAAGGGGGCAGTCCAGATGGGAGGGATCTGCCAAGAGGTTTGGGGACAACTATTTGCTACCTTTGTGTGCCAGGCATTCTCCAATTGCCCCTCCATCCCTTCTCCACCCTTCCCCACCCTGCTCCATGCCCCGGAGGCTGCCCTCTCTGGACTGCGTCAGCTCAGTTCCCTTGTTCTCAGGCTTCTGGATGGGCTTGCCCAATGGGAGGCACCATAAAGGAGACGCCAGGGCAGGAGGAGAGGGAGGGAGGGCATCTATTCCCCTGGCTGCCTCTTGACAGGGCTGCAGGCTGACAGCGTGGCACTCTCTTACCTAGGCCACGGCTCCTGTGGGTAGGCCTCGCTGGCCGTGGAGACTCACCGTCTCCTGCCCATTCAAGGCTCAGAGCGGTATCATGGAGTCCTGCCGTGGCTACCCCTCCAGGTGGTTCACCACACCTTGCTGTTTCCCCTCTAGCCCTGTCCTTACATTAGAAATAGTCCCCTGTGAGTGACATCCGTTTCCTGCCAAGACCCTGCAGGGAACATTACCCACAGACTGAAGATGCCCTAACCTCGTTCAGGAAGGGGATCTGATCCTGTGACCACCTGGAGAGGGAGGGTTACTCTCTCCTCCATAACTGATTCTCAGCCCCCTTTTTCTCCACTCTGCTGCAAAAGCCGTTCTGCCCCATCCCCTCTAACTCATCGGAGCACAGGCTGCGGGGGCAGACGGATGCAGTGGAAGTGGCGTGCCCATGAAGTCTGTGACTAGACGCTGCCCATCCCACACTTACCGTCCAGTCCCCACAGGTCTCCTGTCCGGAAGTGTCTGCCACCATGAAGATGCGGGGTGGGATGGACAGAGGGGCTGCTGATCCCCTCTGCTTATCTCCTGAGTGGGTCCAATCCATAATCACCTCCAGGAATATGGGACACAGGGCCCAACCACCGCTGCTCACCATCACGGTTATGACCATCACCGGCCCCACTGCTGACCCCAGCACTGCCCCTTTGGCCCCACCCTCCCTTCCTCCTGGTCAGCCCAGCCACTAATGATCTCTTCTTAGATCAGACCAGACCCACCCGGGGATGCAGCTCCCTGACCATGAGGGCCCCCACTGACCCTCCTCCTTTGCTCAGCAGCCTGCTACGTTGATGTGCTGGGGACAGAGAGGCCACCAGGCACATACTTTCACAGACATGGCCAGAATCTTGTTGATTTGCCCGGTGCCAGCCTCCAAAGAACTGCTCTTTTTATGCTCAATTTGAAGGGCTAAGAGCAACCCTGGGAATACTGGCAGGTGCTGGTCTGGATCCTTCCTGTCTGGGGCTCTGCAGACCGTCTCCATCCATCAAGGCTTCCCCTGGGGAGCCCAGGGAGGAGTCGGCCTGTGGCCCCATTTCCTGTGGAGGAGTCTAATTATGGCTCTTTGGGATGGACAGTCCTGGAGTCTGCTGGTGCTAGCCAGGCTTGGCCATGGGGGAGATCAGAAGGCCTGGGTTCTATTTTCAAGCCTGATATTTATTATTGTAATATTGGCAAAGGTTTTCCCCCGCAGGGGCTCGGTGTGACATCCATAAAATGAGCATATCGGGCCAGGTGATGACGTTCGGTAATTCTTACTAGTGTGCAGACGATAACACGTCCGCTCCTGACACTACCAGGGGCCCGTCTGCTTCAGGTGCTGTAGGGGATTTCTCTTTCCTGGGAAGTGCTGTCCTCCCAGGATGGTCTTGGAAGTCCCAGAACCCACCCTGAGATTCCTGGTCTTTGAGGGTGGCCTTGTGGAGCCCAGCTGACAGGGTCCCACGTCGGGGACGGGGGAGGGTACTCACAATCTTCTCCGGAGTAACCGATGACCGTGTCTGGCTCAGGGCCCTTCCCAAAGTCATTTTCGGCCTGGACTCGGATCTCGTAGGGCACATAGACAGGGGTCTGACCCACCACGTAGCGGGAGCCCCACACTGTGACGTTGTTCCAGCTCTCTCGAGTCTCTCTCCGCCGCCACTTCACGATGTAGCGCAGGTTGGGGCCAAAGGCGGAGGTGGCATTCATGGGCTGAGCAGGAAGACATGGACGGCAGGGTGGGGGGGTGCAGGCGAGGAGCCTGACCCCCCTACAGTTTGCACTCTCTTTCTGTGCCTGGCACCCCTCCTCGATCTGCCCAACAATGGCCAGCCCCTTGCAGAGTTGGGAGGACAACTCTGAGTCGTACCTCACTGAGTCCCCCAAAAGGCCAGAATCCTGTGAATTCAGCAGCATGTAAGTTTTCTGGGACAAAGGCTTCACCTAGGACCTAGTCACTCTGACTCCCAGGGCTACCCACATCTGCAAGTGTGCAGGGAGCAAAAGCTCTCCTTCCAACAAGACTCCTGCCTACGACTGAGCAACAAGAAGACAAGAGATGCACAATAATACAACATTCTCCAAGTTGCAAAGGGATGAGTTTTGGTTTAGCCATGGCATGCCTCCTGTCAATGAACTTGAAATTCCAGAACTCATCTCAGTCCTATCAAATCCATGCATGTCTGTCTTGTCCTTCATAAGAGGTCAGAGCTAAGAGTGGCTGTCACTCTGTTCTTTGTTCCCTAGGGGCCTGCTCCAAGAAGCAGTCCCCTGGGAGCCTGCAGTACAGAGCTGCAGACCAAGAACCAAGCCTTGCAAGGTCCCAAAGATGAGTTCCAGTGTCTTGAACCCAGACTCAGCCCAGTTGCCAAGGCTGTGAGACCAGGCCCTCGCAAGACGGTGATGGTCATGATTCCAAAAACCAGATCTCCAGGCTTCCGTTGCTCATGGCAACAATGCAGAAAGGTGAATATTTCAGAGGGAGAATGTGCATCTTAGACTTGGAAGTGGTTTGAAAAAGTCATTTTGAGGCCACACACCCCAGTTTTGGTTTGGAAAATGTAGTCAGTGAGCAAAGGAGAAGATGAGATTCTTCCAATCCTGGCCTAAAGAGAGCCTTTTGAGTCATATAGTCCGTTCCTGGACTCAGAGAAGGTCTCTGCTGGAAAATGCCTCCGATGCTGGTCTCTCCCCGCCCCCAACACTCTCCAGTGAAAGGACCCCAGGTCACACGAAAGTTAGGTACTAGTGTTTAGGCGAAATCTCTCCTAGAGTCTTGCCGGAATCCCGCCCCCTTTAAAGAAGTCCCTTCTACCTTGCTGGTACTCTCTGAGTTTGCCGCGGCTGGCAGTCTATGTCCCTCGGTCCCCTCTGCTCCTGTCTCCTGCCTCAAATCTCTCTCTTAGAGGTGCTCCTGTTTGGTTCTGGGTGCCCAACTCTGAGAAAAGTGGCCACCAAGCCAGCCAGGTAGTCTGAGCCACCCTGTGGCCTTGGGGTCTGAAGGGTGAAAGGGTGAGGGCTCCCAGGCACACCTGCCAGGTGAGCAGGCCCATCAAGGGGGGGGGCTGGGAGGGACTCTTACCGTCCACGTGATCTCCATGTTGTTTTTTCTGGTCCCCTCTCCCTTCACATCAGCGGGATTAGACTCAGGGGCTGGAACCCAAATGGATGCAAAGTTCAAGTCCAATTTGTGCCTTTCCAGGGCACAGTAAGCAATCTCTCTCCCTCCCGCCCGACTGGTCCCTTCTACACTCCATCTTTTCTCAGCATCTCCCTGCATACTCTGTCCCACAGGCAACTGAACTCTCTGTGCCTTTTTCTCATGCGTATGATGTGCCTTCCCAGCTAAGATGTAAACCCTCAAAGCAGGGCTAATTTCTTTTGAATTTTAATCCCTTACTAGACAGCATTTATCATAAGGCTGTCCGTACTTTAGATGATCAATACAGCCAACTCAGTGTGCGTTATCCCCTTCGTGGATTATCCACTAAATATGTTTAATACTAGACTGGTGTATCCGTGGCCTTTAACATTTTTAGGGAGCATCACCACCCTCAATGAGCTGGCATGATTTCAGAAATCTAAACACTAACCAAGTGTGTTAGGAGAAGAAATCTGATATAACACCAGATTATATATTTCTACTGCAAATCTTTGCCATGCCTCTTCCCTTTGAAGCAGATCATTAAGAATTATTAACAATGTTAGTAATAATAAAAATGACAGTCAACATTTATGGTGCACTTACTATATGCCAGGCATTACGGTAAGTACCTGAACTGCCTTTTCAAACGCCATCCTCACAACAGCCCACGATGGAGGTGGTGTTAGCATTCTCTGTTTCACAGGTGAGGAAGCCGACCCTTGGAGAGGTTACGTCACTTGCCCCAATTCGTGCGTCTGGGGACTGGCACTCGGTCCTAACACCTTCTGCTAGCCTCCGAGTACTCACGTGCTCCGCTGGTTCGGTAGCGCTCAGATGGGAGGCTGGGGTGGCTGCTGCCGACCTCGTTGATGGCAATGACCCGGAACTGGTAGTTGACATATGGGGACAGCTGGAGGACAGCTGAGTTGACACTGCCTGGGAACTTGGAATGGTCATGCCAGACCCCTGGCTGGAACTGGTCCTCTTCAAACTGGACGACATAGTCTGAATGGGCGAGACTGAGCTGTTGTAGGAGCTGAGTTGGCAGAGTTCTTTCTAAGAGCACTTCCTTGTGGTTTCCACTAGTCTTTCTAATCTCCCTTAGGTAAACAAAGGCACAGGAAGAACCCCGCCCAAAACACTAAAAGGAAGCGGAGGCCTCCAAGCCGGCTGTGAATAGCCTAGGGCAACGTGCAGTGAGGAAGAAGTGGGTCCAGCAGCCAGGGCAAGGCCTCTGGCTTCCAGGCTGCTACCATCCCTCTCCTCTGAATTGGAGCCCAGGGCCCCTGGCTGACCTGTGATGGGGCTATTGTTGTCATCCCCTGGGATCCAGGTGAGCCTCACACTCCTCTCAGCCAGGTCAGTGAGCTCCAGGTCCCGGGGTCTGTCTGGCCGTCCTGGCAGCAGAGGGAGAAGACACCACACAGGACTCGTGAGTCAGAGCAGGCCCACTCTGGTGCCGGCCCCAGCCCCGGACACTGTCCTATGGACAGGTGCCTGACGGGCTGAGGTCACCACCCAGCCTGCCTGGCGGGTCAGGGCAGGGACCACCCCCTTCCCTCAGGGGGCTGAGAAAGAACAAAGAGGAGACCTCAAATTCCAGCCTCCCCAGAGTACAGAAGAATGTAGGCCCCAGAGAGAAGTGGGCCAGCGCACCCCACTTCTGTGGGGATTCTCAGGGTGCATGCATTTGGGAAATGCTGCCCTTTTCATTAGACCCATGTTTAAGCCAGTGAGGAGGTGTGGGATTGCCTCATTTTGTCATAATTATCTTCTACTCTGTGTCCCAAGGCTCTGGCGGGACGGGCAGGAGCCAGGAGGGTGTGTGGCGTGCTGAGGAGGCAGCCCGGTTAGGGAGGTGGGAGGTCCACAGACAGAGGCCTGGGCCAGGGAGGCGAGGGGGGCTAGTCTAGGAGTTTCAGTGATGGACGCAGGACAGAGAGCCCGGCAGGCGTCCAGAGGGCAGGGGCGGCACATTTTGGGGGCTCCAGTCTCACTGAACTCCCTTAGTGGGGGTGAGCGCCATCCTGGCCTGGGGATAAAGCTATCCAGCCACTGACTGGGGCAGGCGGGGTGGGCCATGACTTTTCCCCATCCTGGTTCCTTGAACCAGCTATCTCCACATTGTGGACAGTTACTGGAAGGATCTGGAAGGTGAGTCACATGAGCCCACATTTGTGCGTGTGCACACGTGTGTAGATTGTAAATGGGTGTACAGTAGCAGATGTGGAGAGGCTGCAAAAAAGAGGGGCTTATGGATAATTCAAAGTGGGCCTTCCTGACGGGACCTTACAGAATTCTGAGACCAGGCTGGTGGAAGAGAGCAGGCGCCCCAAGGTGGGGAGCAGGGCTGTGACAGGCCCAGGGAGGGCGCATGGGACTGATGGCAGGGGGTGGGAGCATGACCCGCCTGCCTGCACACAGCACACCCTGTCCTGCATGCCCCCCCCGCCCAACGCTGGAGAGGCCGGCGAGGGCTCGTGATTAGTACGCGTTACCTTTGGGCAGGGCAGCCAGACGGTTAGTTGGAGTGGCCTGATCAGCTGCAAAGGTAAGATGGGTTATCCAGGTTAGCAGGTTATCTGATGGGTTATCCAGGTTAGCAGTTTATCTGGGGCTAAAGGTGTTCTAGAAGGGTGGGAACAGGCAGCCGAGATGCAATAGCTGCCCCTGGGCTGAGGTGTTCCAGGCACAGCTTCGTCCTCCTTCCACGGAGACCCTCACCCTCAGGGAGGCCTCCTGTGGTCCCCGTGGCTGGGGCAGAACCTCTCTCTCCTTCCCATCCTGGGCCCACCACTCCCGCAACTGCTCCTCCGCTGCAGAGGAGACAAGGGTGCACCCACAGGAATGGCAGGAGGTGCCCAGGGAGAGGACAAGGGCGTGCCCACAGGAATGGCAGCAGGTGTCCAGGGAGAGGACAGATGAGGAGTGCTAACGGGATTTACTTCAGTGGGCATGAGAGGCTGCCTTCCCCTGGGGCTTGGGACGGCTGGGTATTCACAGTCCGGCCTGGACAAGATGGGATGGTCTTGCTAAGTGCGTGGCTCTCCGTGAAATCCCCTCAAGAAACGGGGGCAGGGCGGGAAGGCATGTAAGGACAGCAGACGGTGTTGGAAGGACAAACACGAAATTCAGTCTTGCTTCAAGAACGGGTCATTTTAATTGACGTGGTGGTTTAGAGTTAGCGGTAAAATTGGTAAAATGATCTCAACAGGAACCCCATCCACTTCCCTCTCTGTCAGGCCCCCGTCAGCTGAGGACTGGGGGCTGACGATCACACTCAGGAGCTAGGCCGGCCGGCACAGCTTGCTGTGAAGGGAGCAGCTTCCTAAGCCCTAAATCAACAGGCAGCAGAGCACCACGTGGGGCCGGCCCGCTGACCACGGATGCTGCGCTCAGAACCGTCAGGGTTTCTCTGGCGGCGGGAAGGGGTGGGGACAGGAGGGGAGGTCAGTGCCAGCATGGGCAGCAGCAGTTACCTAGCACGGTGAGGTAGGCCTTGGCCAGGTCTTGGTCCAGCTCAGTGCTGGCGACGCAGGTGTAACTGCCCTGGTCCCGCTCCGCCACACCAAAGATGGTCAGGGAGTCATCTTCCTTCTTCATCCTGCAAAGGGACCAGGAGTGGTCGGAGGAGGCGGGTGGAGGCACAGCAAAGGGAGAGGCGGGGGGGGGGGGGCTGGGGGGGCCGCTGCTTTCTCCCTGGAGGGGGATGGCCAACTGGAAGGGAGAGGACAGCGTCACGGGCTGGGCTGGGCAGCCACAGCTGCTCCTAGGGGACGTGAGGCTCCATTTCAATGCGTTGAGAGGCAGGGTCCTCACAGTCATGTAGGTGCTGGATGGAGGGAGAAAGAAAGTGGGTGGAGCCCAAGTGGCCCTGACCAGGCTGTCCTCCAGTTCCACGCTGGGTCTGTTCTGTGGCTTTCTTGTGCTGTGCTCCCTCTGAAATTAGGGCCCAGTTAGGCACCCTCGCCAAAAGGCAGATTGGTGCCCCTTCTTTTCCAGGACTTCCAGCTCTGTCTTCAGCCCAGACAGGTCTCTGCACCCAGGCTCAGGCCAGGTGCCGGCTCCTCTGAACTGTCCCACACACGGAGGGGGGCACCAAAGAGCAGGGCAGGCTGTGAGCACCAACAGAGGGCTGGGGTGCCTGCAGCTGACTGCAGGGCACACCCCTGCCAAAAACCAGGTGATGGCTGGACAGAAGCTGCCCCCAGATGGAAGAGGGTACAGCAAAGAGCCCTGTTGGGGGAGGCAGGATCAGCCCTCTCAACCCTGAGTGCACACTAGAAACACCTGTGGGGATTCTGAAACGCTATCAGCGCCTGGGCCCTCCCCCCCATGACAATTAAATTTCAGTCTGGGATTTAGTTGAGAGAAGGGGCAGGCGTGGGTCAAATAAAAGCATCCCTGAGGGCAGTCAGGGCCGAGAACCACGCCGACCACAGGGTCATTGTGGGCTCGGGCCAACCCTGCCCTCTGCCGGACAACAGGGGCACTGCAAGCAGGGCTGAGAGGATGGAGCGGAGTCCTGGCCGTGATGCCAAAGAGGAGGAAGGGAGGGGTCAAAAGAAAGGGAGAAGGAAGAGAGGAGGAGGGAGGGGAGAGCAGGAGAGCAGTGGAGAGAGAAAGGAGTGGGAAAGAGAGGAGAGAGAAGCAGAGAGACGACGGGAGAGAGGGAGAAAGCCGGGGTGGGGGAGGCACAAAGGCTGAGACGCCCTGTTCAGCAGCTCCTCGGTGACACACATGCACAGGTTCTCCGTCCCTGGCTTCTTTAATGTGTCACCAAGGGCAAGGGAGAGAGCATGCCCGCAAACTAGCAGCAGGCAGAGGAGGAGCAGAAACCTGTTCCCGATGTAGAGCGGCTCGTCATCCTTCAGCCAGGACACTGTGAGCTTCAGGGAGGGGTCGTGCTTCACCCGGCACTCCAGCTGCACCGTGGTGCCCCTCTTGGCAACCTGGTCCTCAGGCATCCGAAAGATCCTGGTGGGGTCTGTGGAGAGGCCCCAGGAGCTCATCACCAACACGTTCTCTCCCCACCACCCCCGTGTGGCCACACAGTGTGATATATGCATGACCTCAAGCTTGGACCGGCCATGGAAGGCAGCAGAAAGAGCATTCAGCTGTATGAGCTCAGGGAGGCCTGCTGTGGGCAATCTCAGGGTAAACAGTCCCCAAGCCTGCCTGTCTGGCTCAGGAACGTACGGTGCAATTTCTGGGCGGCAGGGCATTTGTGTGGGCAGCAGGTATGCCTTCCTAATTCCATCTGGACCGGGCTGATAATAAAATGACCCGGTGTTCCCAGCACCTGGGGCAGCTGGAAGTTCTGGGAGGTCGCCCTGCCCCACAGGGAGGGATTAAGCATGAGGTGTGGTGCATTTTCAAAGTGACCATCACCATGGACGACCATGAGGAGATGGCTTCCCCGGCTCGCCCTGTCCTCCAGGAATCTCTCCTTTACCTTTGACTTCCAGGCGGACCTGGTTTTCTGCCTTGCCCAGGATGTTAGTGGCAACGCAGGTGTAGATGCCTTGGTCCTCTTTGTGGATCATCTTGATTTCCAGACTGCCATTCTCATAGACATGGTAGTTGCCTCCATCCAGGTTGCTTCCTTGTCCATTCTTAAACCTCACAACAGAGCAGCAGAACACACAGCATCCTGAGAAAGGACCGGCCCAAGGGAGCAGGGCAGCAACCACTTGAGCGACCGTGAGGACACAGGAAGGAGGCCCATGCTAGGAGTCTGGAGCCCTGAGCCTTGGAGGGTCTGCTCCAACAACTGGGTGGCCCTGCAAGTCTCTGCCCCTCTCTGGGCCTCAGTTTCCTTCTTTGCACAATAAAGGGGTTGACCCAGATGACCTGCCAACTTCCTCCCAGCTTCGACCCTTTAAGGTTCCCACATCTTGCTGAATACCTATTATGGGCCAGATGGGAACGAGCAAGGTGAGACAGAGGACCCCTGTGGGGGAGGCCTGGTCTCTTGGAACATACCAACGGAGCGTGGGAATGGGGGACCCAAAGAATGGGCAGTCCAGCCGCGTCCGGTTGTACAGGATCACCCTAATAAGCTGGTTCCGCGGTGACAGCATCCGAGGTGGCACGTCTGCAATTCCCAGAGAACTCGTCTTGGGTGAGGAGTCTGACTCTTCCATATCTTCCCCTTTGCTCTTATCTCTATGAGCCTTCTCCCTACAGTAACTTTCCAAGGCCACCTTGCCCTGCGGACCTCCCTCCTTTTAGAAGCTTCTAAAGATGAGGTGAGGAAGGAGACAGCTTATCCACTGGCCCACAATCTACCCTACATCCAATCTAGCTTTTGCAAAGGGTTTCCCCGAATTATGCAGCGGCTTCTGCACCTGCCCCTCCACAGCCTCCACATCTACTAGCTGCCCCTGCCCGCCGCCCTCTCTCTGCTCTGGGAGTGCCACAAACACACTCAGAACCATTCCCCGCTGAGACCCTCTGGGAACCCAGGGAGCATCAACATGGACACACCAAGGAGATGAGACTGGTCCACTCTCTCTCTCATCAGGGAAGGTGAAGACCAAGACTGACTTCTAGCAGGGGATTAACTCTGGATTTTAAGTCCTCCATCCGCCCTGTAAATCTCATTTCGGTCTCCATGCTTCTCCCAGCCTGCTGCTCTTCCCTCCCAGCCAGCCTGGCTGATGTCAGGAGAAGAGAGTGTGGCTGTGATGGAGCAGGCCTGGGAGGCCCCGGGCAGGTGGGTGGGGGTGCTCACCCAGCACGCTGACGAAGGCGTTGGCCAGCAGGTAGCCGTGCTCGTTGGACGTGTTGCACTGGTACACGGCCCTGCTGCTGATCTGCGTGTCCCGGAAGATGATGGTGTCCCCGGCCACCTCTCGGTTTGGGTTGGGTGGTGCCGCTGCAGACAGGAAAGATGCTTCTCGTGAGAAATGGGGGAGGGCAGGATGAAGGGCACCGTGGGGGACTGGGTAGCTGGACTTGGGGGCTGTGGAAGCAGCAGCACCGGGCGGCTCCCAGAAGACTCAGCTTCTGGCTCCTCCATCACCTCGCTCTGTGACCTCGGCCGACCACTGAACGTCCTAGAGGTCATTTCTCAATGTGTCCGACAGGGATATGACTCCCTGCTCTACCTATAAGGTAACCGGGCGGGTGTGGCTGACAGTATGAGCTGTGGAGACAGAAAGGGGTTTGAATTCTAACCGCATCACCCGGCAGCGTTATTCAATCCGCCTCAGCTTCAGTTTCCTTGTCTGCAGAATAAGGATAACACGGCACCTTGTGGGGTTTTAATGGGGATGACCTGAGATTTCACGTATGTATAAAGTCATTAGCAGGGGGCCTGGCACAAGCCAATTATTATTCGTTATTATTTTAACCCAACGTGCATGTACTTATATGTGTTTTGAAAGGGACAAAGCAACATACAACTGGATGGGAGCCACCACCTTCCCACCCTCTGGGAAGAGCATTCTTCAACAGTCACAGAGTGGAACCCACAACCATAAGCCAATGCCTCCTGAAAACTAAATGAGTCCTTGCATTTGCTGAAGCCACTGATCATCCCAAGAAATGGACCCTAAACCGAGAGAACATTTCTTCCTGGTTCTCCCAGTACCTCTGGCTTGGAATGCAGACAGCAGAGGCTGGGGACCTTGTCCTGTTCACACGTCAATCTGGGACTCAGGGCAAGTCAGTGAATCTTTCTGGGCCTCATTTCCTTTATCTGTCAAACGGGGAGAATTACTCCCATCTTTCCCCTACTCTGAGGAAGGTTAACAGAGTGATAATGAGCTGTACAAATGAAAGTTTCTGGAATTGTAAGGAATTGCCACTTTCCCATCTTTCACCTCTAGCAGGTGATCTCCTGTAAGGTTTCTGTACTGGGCCAGAGGACTTGGCTTGCAAGTCCATGAACCCGTCCTGGATCACTCAGACCCATAGGGGCAGCTGGCAGAGGAGGACCCAGGGTCTGGCCCCACGGGTGCCACTCATAGACAGCAAGTCTGAGCCCAGAACTGGGGAATCAGCAGGAGGTGAGAGAAGACAAGGTCAGCAGATCCTTATCATCTGTCTCTGAGTCTGCACTCAGCAAAAGGCACCAGGAAGGCAGTGCCCGCAGCTTCATGCCTCCCTGCCCGGCACTTCTCATGAACGCAACTTTCCTTCCAGTCAGTCCCAGAAAGTGACGGGTGACCTTTCCAGGACCAAGGCTCGGTTGTGAGCCTGGGGCTCTGACCTCGTTTAAGGTGCTATGAGGTTCACTGCCTTTGTGTGCCTTGTCCTCCAAGTGCTGTCAGACAGGGAAAAACACAGAGGGCACGCACCGTCTGTGTCTCCGCTAGTGTCCGGGAAAAGGGTATTTACTTGGGGCAACTATGTGCTCAGCACACAGCAGCCCACAACTTCACCACGGACCAGCTACGTGACCTCAGGCAATTCACGGCACTGCAGAAACCATGCTTCCGCATCCTCCACATTTCAGGTCAAAGAGAGAACGGGGCGCAGCACCCGGCGCTGTGCTGGGCACACAGTGCGCGTCTCAGAAGGCGCATTCCCATGCTCTCCTCCCCCCGTCCCTGCGCCCCCGTGGCTCGACAGTTTCGCTCTGAGTTCTCATCATCTGTTTTTTTGCCCCGTTTGGTTGATATCACTGTTGGCATTTCCTCTGACCTCTTACAGAAGTAACAACAGGACATTTAAAAAGTAAATGCAACAGGAGAGAATATGATGTGAAGACTTGACCAAGCCCTCCGGCTGGAAGGTCCCTGGAGTCACCTACTCCAGCCATCTGGGCAGGACAAAATCTCGCCAAAGTCTGTGCATACTCAGTACCCGCACCGGTGCATCTCTGCTCTCAAGGGGAAGTTCTTCCTCATATCTGACCATTATCTTTCGTATCATCATGGAACCCTGCCTCTTATTTTGCCCTCAGCAGACAGCAGGCCCTGGGCAACCAACAGCAGTGGGTTACTGAGCTCCCTGCCCCTTCTAAGCCCCAGCAGCACTCAGAGCCCCAACTCAGGAGAGGAGGCTGCCATCCCTAGACCTTTACCTGGGCTCTGTAGTTGTTAAGGGCAGAAAGCAGAGATTTAGGGAAAACCCTCAAGAGCAGAAATCCCCTAAATATGGGAACATGACCACAGGCCTCCTGTTCTCTCACAGAAGAGGCAGGGTTCCTGCCTCCTGAGATGTCCAAGAGGTGGGCTGCTCCAGAAGCAGCAGCCAAGGAACACTTGTTAGCTTTGCCTCTGGTACAACCAGGCTGGCCCGCAGGGAGTGGGGTCTGGAGCCTTCGACAGGAGAGAGAGCAGGGTCAGGTGGGACAGTGGTTTGTTACTCACATTGCAAAGGTTCCCCATTCACCATCCACTGGATGGTGGGCTTGGGGTTCCCACTGGCTCGACACACCAGTCTCCCGTCCTCGCCAGGAGCCAGGATAAGGTTCTTGGGTTCATCCAGCCAGTAGGGAGCAGCTGGAAGACAAGGACAGCAAAGGCTGGGAGTTAGATGGCACAGGGCAGGCAGAAGAAACCAGATGGGCTCCCTCTAGGAAGACAGGAGCCCCTGTGTGCCAGCCCCAGCCCTCACCACCTGCCCAGGGCTCATCCTCATGGGATGATTCGGTCCAGCCTGCCTTGGGCCAGCTTGGCATCTCAGATGCTGACCAGTCTATTTTGAGTTCACAGAACAATAGTTCTTTTTTTTTTCTTCTCCCCAAAGACCCCCAGTACATAGCTGTATATTCTAGTTGTGAGGGCCTCTGGTTGTGCTATGTGGGACACCGCCTCAGCATGGCCTGATGAGCGGTGCCATGTCCACGCCCAGGATCTGAACCGGCAAAACCCTGGGCTGCCGAAGCGGAGCATGTAGATTAACCACTCGGCCACGGGGCTGGCCCCAGAACAATAGTTCTAAACTCGGGCTGCTCATTAGAGTCCCTTGAAGAGCTTTTAACAGACACGGACGGTAGGGCCTGTCTTAGACCCACTAAGTCAGAATCCTCGGGGGGCTGGGCAGCGAATGCTTTTAGAGCTCCACAGGGGTTCTTGATGGGCAGCCAAGGGCTCAAGCCAGGGACTGTGGTAAAGTGGGCACAGGGTTGGCCCTCTGGATTTCTGCTGCAAGATCAGCCCCTTCAGGAAAGGCCTCATCTTCATTCTTTTAGGCACTGAGCTTTGGCTTTAGCAGAAGCTCGTAGCTGGCCCCCTCTTCCAACTGTTTGGAAAATTTTGCGAATATGTGGATTTTTCTGAGAAGAAGATCCTTTGGATCAAATTCTCAAAGATCTTGATACCCTAGAAAAGGTTAAGAACCCTTGGTTTGAGTGCAGTGCTGAAACCAAGGTGACAAGGTCAACTGAGTGTGAGCTAAGAAAGTTCTTACACTGTGGTGTCAGACCTCGTGACCCCAACCATCCCCCAGCCCCCAGCTGAGCAGAGGCTGGCGTGCCCACCACGCACTCTGGGACCAGAGAGGCACGTGTTCTAGTGCTTGCAGTAGCTCGGGGGACCCTCTATGCTTTTTGGGGAGGGAAGGGATTCTTTAAAAAATACTTTGGACCACGATGACTTCCATTTTTAAAAATAACCATGCACAAGTACACAGACAGCACAGGGCTAAGATGCCACACCGTGAACAGCTGCAAATGAAAGAAACAAAAGGCTCTTGGGGTGATCCAAACAGACCACGGAGGAAATTCACCTGCTGAGGGAGCCCCGAGCACAAAGGAGAGTTGGGTGATGGTCAGGTGGCTCTCCTTCCCTTAATACCTTCCATGCTTATCCACACATGCACACGCTCACACTCACTCCCTTTCCCTCTCTCTCACACATACACTCACACACTCATATCCGGGGGTGGCACCATCCCTGGCAGGTCACTATTGCCACTAACCAGTGTGTTGGAAGTGTCTCCCTTACCCGACCCGCAACTGCCCCCAGAGGGAGGGTGGCCATGGTGTTCGGGGCTGGCAGATCACCATAATGAGAAATACACACCACGTACCCTTTACTCTCACCGAGATCGTGTGCCGGATGCTGCCCATCTTGTTGGAGGCCAGGCAGAAATACTCTCCAGAGTCTTCCTCAGAGACATTGGTGATACGTAGAGCCTTGTTAAAGTTCTCAAACTTGGCCTTGTCAGATGGGAGGTCCCCACCTTTCTTGTACCACGCGATGTCTGGTGTCGGGCTAGGAGAAGGACCAAGCAGGAAACAGGGACTTAGCACTGACCGCAGCCCTGCTTTTCTTATATGGAGCCCAGGACACCCGGGCGTCCTTAAGGTGTACGGGGTCCAGGAAGACATGTCCTCTGAGAACTGATCTCTCCTATTCAGATGGGATGTTCAGCCACAGAGTGTGTGAGGGACTTATCTGAGGTCACACGAGACTCTAACACACACACAGCATGCCTACCCATTTCCTTTCCTCATTATCCCAAAGTGAGACGGCCAGAACGGGACGGAGAGGACTATGACTTGCAAAGTCCTCACTAGGGGCTGTTTGCTTCTCTTTTTGCCCCCCAAAATGTGGCAAGAACAGACCACACCTAAACTCCCACCCCATCTTCCTGGAGGGTGGCCAGAAGTGGGGGTGCCAATGGTACGTACACCCCGGAGGCGATGCACTCCAGCAGGAGGTCCATGCCACGCAGCACCATCTGGCTGCTCGCAGTGCCCTGGGGATACATGAAGCTGGGTGTCCTTTCCGCAACTCCTCGGGCTGAAACAGGATAGAGCAAGCTCTCGTGAGCCTACTGCCTGCAGGGCTGACCCAGCTGGGCCAAAGCTGTCAGGCTAGAAAGAAACGTCATCATGCCCCTGCTGACCCCCTCACCTCAGAGGCACCAAGCCCCGTCCCTCCCAGCTGAAACCACCCCAAGGGCCGGGCATCATTAAGAGAGGAGTGTTAGGAAGCGCCGGCTCCTCGGCCCCACCAGCACATGTGTGTGAGCAGCTTTAAGTTCTGAAAGGACCTCAGAGGAGCTCAGCCTCCCTCACAGTTCAGTAAACCAATCCTTCTCTGGAACAGGGGCAGGGTTGCTGGAGCACTGAGCGTTTACTCCCCGAGCATCTTGTGTTGGGGCCCCAGAGGCCAATGCCGTGGCCCCCGAGGAGGCCATCTCAGCAGCAGTGGAAGAAAGAGAAGGCTCGCATTGAGGCCACAGGACACACAACCTGCTCTTGGGGACCCTGGAGACAAGGAGCTGGGATGAAGCCACAAAGACTCAGATGAACAGTCAGAGATGCATTCAGCGTTATTAACGGTTTAGCAAAGACATGGAGAGAATTAATGAGCAGAGATGACAGGAAATCACTCTGGGGCCAAGACCATTCTGCTTCTTCACTAATGACTGGGAGGGGGTTGGGGAGGAGGGTGTTAATTGGAGGTGAGAGACTGGGGGAGGGGTGAGAGGAGAGTGGCAGCCAAGATGGAGGAGGTGATCTATAATCCAACTAGGCTGGAGCAGCCACAGGGTCTGAAATCAAGGCGATGCACCAGGTCCTGAAGGCCAGGCAGCTCACAGAGGTCTACAGTGTCAGGTGGCTGTCTCCCTGTGGAAGGGGTCATGCAAATCTGGGTACACCAGCAGAGTGGACCCGTCTTACTGAGCCGCACCTTCCCCTCAGAGCCGTCTGCACGTTTCCACAGAAATAGATACGATGGAACAGAGAACAAGGAGTTTCCACCCAGGAACCCAAAGCAAAGGGAAACTGGAGGAGGCACCTTGCCCAAAGGCGTGTGACCGTGAACGAGAAGAGTTTTCATAAGCTGAGCCCACCCGTGGGTTTAACGGGTCTTCATCTCAGCTGGAGAGGTGAGAGGCGGAAGGAAGGCAGCGCTGCCAGGAGCTAGGAGCCCTCAGAGAGGCCTGGGGTGAGAACAAAGGTGTTCTTCCAGGCAGGGGTGTTAACGGGTGCTGGCAGAGTGAGGACAGAACGGCAGGGGACTCTGTCTCTGGGACACTGGTGTTTCTTAACAGAGCGCACTGGCTGGCTGGTGTCTGGCTGGAGCAGCGGGGTTCCTCTCCTAGGGGCACTCAGCTCCTCTCCATTGGCCATCGGGGCAGCACATTTCATAGAGTTTGTATCTATTTATCCTTTTGTCAGGGGAAGAAATGATGAAACACATGCAGACGTAGTTAGGCTACTGGCATAATACACGGCACACGACACATGGTCAATAAGTGTTTGTGGGGTGAATGAATTCAGGGGGAGAAGAGAACAAAAGAGAAGGCAACAATTTACCCCCCAGGTTAGTTTTCTTTCTGTAGATGTCCTCATTTGTCCCACCAGCACACACATATACAACAGTGGCTACTGAAGAGGTTAATCCATTATGTGGTTAATTGGTTACCGTCTACATCTATAACTCTTGTAGCATCCAGCTCTCAGTACCAAGGAAGCCTGATACCAGAGCAGCAGCTTCCTCCCATCCTTTGTCATGGAATCACCAAACAGACAACACAAGGTCAGGCGTGCCAGGGAGAAGACTTCAGGGCAGGAGGCTCTGGTGTCAGTTGGTGAATCTGTCGAGAGCTGGGAACCCTGGGATTACGTGGAAGACGTCCCAGCTCAGCACACTCCTTCCATGAAGGCACAAAATCTGCAGGCACCAATCTGTGACCCTATGGACATTTAATTGACACCACAGCATGCAGCACCACAAGCACACATGACCAGCAAAGCATTAAGTGTGGGAGAGAGGAGCAGGGAGCACAGAGGCCTGCCGTGGGTGCCTGACACGCTGTAGCTGTGACTAGAAAAAGGTTCCAGCAATACTTCACTTATGGGATGTGGACTAGCAAGCACAGAATTACCCCAAAGGAGGAGACGCTGCTGGGAAGCGAGCCAAAGCTCAAAAACATAGGGAAGAACATCCTAAAAGTCAGAGATAATAATCAGGGCCGCCACTTGGTGAGCATTTATGGTGGGCCGCATGCTGTGCGAACAGCTCCAGCTAGACATCGCCATCATGTTTAATCCTCAGGACAACCTGGAGAGTACACCCCATTTCCAGCAGAGGAAACTGAGGCCCAGTGGAGTCAACAGACTCACCCAAGAACACGAGCCAGTTACATTTGGATTCTAGACCCTTTAGCACTGAAGCCTGTGCTCCCACATCTAAACTACATTGCCTCTCTCTTTCAAGACGGGTGCCCCGCTGTCCCCACTTCTGATAGTCAGCTTTGGGAATCTCCTTGCTCAAACCAAAGAAAACCAAACGCAGGGGCAAAAGAAGTGAAGGAGAAAAGAGACTTTCCTCTTAGTGAGCTGCTGGGGTGAAACTCTTCCACGGGGCTGTCCTCACAGACCGCTCGCATTGTCTCAGCTAAGGCTCCAGCTCTCCTCGGGGCAAGTGAGTAAACCCAGGCCCAAGCTGGAAAAAAGCAGCTGGGTTGAGAATGAAGAGGCCCCAAAGGCATCTCAACCGGATTCTTAAGGCCACGGAAAACTTGAAGAGGAGTCAGGGCGACACGGGGCGTCATTAAGGGATGATAAGGCTGGACCCACAGGGGAGGTTTTGGAGAAACGTGGTCAGCTGCAGCAGGAGCTCTACACAAATTTATGAAGGATAATCCAGCCGGTGGCTTTGGCAGCCGCTGCTCCCAAAGGAGGGTGGCTAATCGTTTTCCCTGAAGAATCTCCGAGACAAGGGCGATTACCACACGAGACTCTACGAGATTCAAATACTGGAAGACGACAGTCTCCTGGTGTCACGGGACACCCTCTTTGACCCTGGAGGCGGGGTCCTGGGAGAGCCTGTCCAGCCTGATGATGCTTCTCGTCCTCTCCCTCATCTCCAGGGCTCGAGTTAGACCTAATACCTGATCAATCCAGATGCTAAAGCTCGTGTCTGTGTGCATTCAGCAAGAACTTAGCTGCGGGCCCACCTGACCTTGAGCCCAAGGACAATCTTCTCTCCTGCTCTCACAAGCTCTTGCTGGAGAGCGGCCCACGGGTTTCTAGGGGAATGTGGTTAGCAGCGGGCATCAGGAGGTGACATGGCCTCAACCAGCTTGGCTTTAAAGGGCCAGTGGAAAACGCCTCGATTGTCTCCTGCATGAGGAAAGGTCAAGACTGCTGAAGCTCTGAGCTGCTCCCCTCTGCTGGTGCTGTCGGCTAGCAGAGAGCACGCAGCGAATCAGACAGATCCGAGAAACTGCCAGGAACCGCTGTCAGGGGCGGCTGGGTCCTCCGTTTGCTGCTTTCGATTCTCAGAATTGAGAACTCATGGGGCTGGATTCCTGGCATCTCGTCTACCTCTCTGGCTCTAGCAATGGCTGACCAAACCACCCCAGAAGATGAGGAAAAACTCTGTGTCTAGTGATATTTGATACCTTCCACTGCCAGGAAATCTCCTCCAAGTCTCACCTAAATCCCTCATGTTCTCAGCACAGCTGAGGATCTGAATAGCTTTCAGGCTCCAGTCTGCTCTAAAATTTCTCCCTCTGTAGCACTTTCTTCCCATAATTGTGCCTGCCTTTCTCCCCCTGGCCTCTCTTCAAGTTCTCCATGTCCCTCCTAATTTCAGAAGCGCAGAACAATTAAACTTGATACAGTCAACACCAAACCATTCTCTTTAGTAATGGGTAACATTTCTTAATCATCGACATGTGTCCGACACCACACTGGGAACTATATGTACATTATCTTCTTTAATCTTCACAATAATCCTATGAAGCAGGTAATGTACCCATTTTGCAGATGGGGATATTAAAGTTCTGGCACACTGAGTGATGTGGCCAAGGTCTCTCAATGGCACACCCTCCAGCCTAATTCAGGGCAGACTATCTCAGAGCGCATGCTCGGAACTTCCTTCCTGTCTCCTGGCCTGGGTGAATGCTGGGCACCAAGTGACAATCTCAGACCAGCTTCCCTCTGCCGCTCAGCAGGTCAGGGGGCATCTGGCATATGTTCAGAGGATACCAAACCACAGTAGAAATTGCTAGAACAAAACGTAATGATGGAGTGGCCCCACTGCTCACGTCTCCTTTGTGCATTTCTCATCGCACTGTCTCCCTGCCCAGCCCCCTGCCCTCAGGAAGGACCTTCTCCTCCTTTCTTCCTTTTCACCTTTTATTTCTTTCTAGAAGCATTCAACCCAGCTGTCCTTTGTTTGCCTCCCTTTGACTTTCTCTCCTTTCCACCGAGCTTATCCGTGCTCAGCCCTGTTCTACCTGGGACTGAGGAGAAGGGGTCAATCTCCACGTGAGCTCCTGGGAGCTCTGCTTAGTTTCATAGCTCCAGATGGTTCTTATACCCCCTACCCTTTCGCTTGTAATAATATCCACCACTGGTCACAAACTGATTAAAGTGGCTGGCATCACTTGAACTTCCCCTATTGATGAAAGAACCCGACACGCGTGTCTGCTGAATGGTTTATCTTCTATAAAGCGAGGAGCTTGGACCTTCTGACTCTGATAAACTCCAGCTTTAAGAATACTTCCATAATAGATTACCCGGAATCCAATTTAGAAAAAGGCACATTCCAGACCAGTGCTCTGGGGCTCCTGACACAATGGTGGTTGGCCCCGTTATTTTGAAAACAGACAGTGCCCAGAATCTAATAAAGGTCCCAGCTTCCTCGGCAGTAAATTTCTTTGGCAGGATCTCGGTGTGGCTCTGCTGCTGCCTCCAAGTTAGAGCTCCCTCCTTGCTCCCTGGCTCTCGCTCCCTGTCCCCATCCCCCACTCCAGACACCAGCATTGTCTATACTAGCACACCACAATACAGACACTTCCTATCTATTTTTTCTATCTATCTGAGCTCACAATCACCCCCCTGGGGACCTGCAGCCTCAGCTTCCAAGGCATAACTGATGACGGGGGCCAGCTGCCTTGCCAGAGCCAGGAAATGATTCTTCTGGCTGCTCAAGGAAAACAAGACACTCCTGAGCCATGGTGGGGGGTGGTGACTCAGGTGTGGAATAGCCCATTACTCTCCTAATCAGCCTGAGAAACCAGCTGTGATGAGCTAGGAACATGCCTCATGGAAATTGTTCCATGACTTGCAAGTGTGTAGACTGGTGGGCAGCGTTTGCGTGCACTCCCAGAGGAGAGAAGAGGCCCCAGTGATGGAGTACAGCGCATGGCCTGCTTCATTTATACTCACCTTGAAAGGGAACTCAGAGCTGGACCCTTACTCATCTTTCCCAGATGCATTTTTTTTTTTTTTAAAGATTGGAACCTGAACCAATATCTGTTGCCAATCTTCTCTTTTTTCTTCTTCTTCTCCCCAAAGCCCCCAAGACATAGCTGTATATTCTGGTTGTGCTATGTGGGACGCCACCTCAGCATGGCCTGACAAGCGATGCCATGTCCTCACCCAGGATCTGAACTAGGGAAACCCTGGGCCGCTGAAGCGGAGCCTGCGAACTTAACCACTCAGCCACAGGGCCGGCCCCAGATGGATTTTGAAAGAGACGTGGCCCTGTGAAACGGTACCCCCAGGAACTAAGCCTACTCTACAACGCAGGCAATTTACATCCAGGCACTCGAATTAAGTAAACACACTGCAAAGCTTCCCGTGCTTTTAAACTACTAAGAGGAATGAGGCTTCCTGCTTCCTCTTCATGTGGGGACTCAACTACCCTCCGACACTCTTCATCCAGCTACCACCGATCCTAAGTTCCTACTGAACTCCCCAGGCAGCTCTTTTGAAGCCCTGCCCTGGTGTGAATGACTTGCCCAGAGTTCAGCAACTGGAGGCTTGCACACCACCAGCACCTCAAACTCCCAAACTGGCCGCCGTCCTCTCGGCGAGCAGTGTTCCGGGGATGGCCCCTTGGCACCCTGGCCTGGCTGACTGTCAGACTTACCACCCAGCACGAGTTAATGACATGGTATCAGTCAAGTTAGGCAAACTGGGGTTAGGACAGGCAAGGTTATCCCAAGGTTACCGCGGCGACTCACCACTGTACATGTCAGGGTGGTTTCTTAAGGACGAGTCATTATGGGGGTGGTCTGCAATAAACAAAAGAGGGTGAGCACACAGGAGGCCAGAGAGAGGTCGCGGAGGCACAGATGGCAGAGGACAAACAGAAACGCCAAGCCATAAAAACAACCAGGAGCACCAGTGCCTCCTGCAAAGGAAAGACGTGGCATATTTGGAAAGGAAATATGCTTGGTGAAGAACAAGCAACACAAAACAGCCCAAAAAAGGGAAGAAAAGGTTAAATCCTGCAAAAAAAAGGCAATAATAGAATAAGTTTCTTTTTTAATTAAAGAAATTAGGCTTGACCTTTAATTGCTTGGTCCTACTATATTTTCAAACAAATGAGATAAGGATTAGTGGTATCCCAAAGCGGTCTTTTGAACAACTCCTTCCCACCAAAATCCTCAGTTCCCAGGACTGTGGACCAGGCCAGCTCCTGGGGTGGCTAAAGAGAAAAGAGCGTCAGTGAGCCCTGGGGAAAGGGCACAGCCCTACCTGGGCAGAAGCTAAGGAGTAAGTGAGAGGAGAAGACAGTTCGAGAGAAAGAACTCGTCAGCAAAGAGAGGGACAGCGGGACCCCTGGCAGCACCCAGCAATCGTGCGCTGCCCAGCAACAAGCACCCCCCCTAACCTGACCAGATGGGCACCACCCTGGTCTCTGAGATGCATTGTTTGGCAGAAAGGCCTCATGGTGAGGAGGCTAGGATTGGTAGGCTGAGGTTCAGAGTTGGGGATTATAAAGAAAGCCCAGGACAGAAGAGTGAGCTGTGGCTCTACAGTGGGGACCAGGAAAGGCCTGCTGACTAAGCTGGAGACTCAGAGATCTCTGGGCTGGCTTGGGGGTGAAGACGTTCTTAAGGACCAGTGGCCTCAGTTCCAATGTTAGGGAATTAAGACCCTCGGGCATTTACTCCTCAGTGAACAAGCCTTCTTGGAATAGGGCACATAACCATGCCAACACCCTTAGGCAGCTTTCACTCTTCTACCACTGTCCCCTTCCAGCGCTGGGGTTCAAGCTTTGACAGTACCAACAGGGCGTGGGGGGCGGGATAGCTGACTGGAAGCCAAGTAGATGCCTTGAGGAGCTGGGAACACATCCAACCGCCTGAGGGAGGAAGGGTGCCATGCCAGAACATTCGCACATCTGAAGACAGAGCAAATCCTGGTACAGCTGACTGCTGGAGGCTATGCGAGCTTTTTTCTGGGTCCTGCATTGCATTGTATCCCAAATCTGCTTAACACCCTATAGGAAGATTTTCATTATTCAGAACTATTTCTTAAGATGGGGTGTGTCGTAAAAGATCTAGCCTGCGTCTGGGAAGTCCGCTTGGGTTTATCTGGAGCTAAGGGTAGGAAGCGACCTGCAGCAGGAATGAAGAGGCGGGTGGCACAGAGGCAGGAGGGGCTGCAGCTGGACTTGGGAGGTACTGCTCCTCTCCTGGGGGAGGTTGGGGGCACGCACAGATGAAGGGGCCCTTGTTTCATGCTCTCATGCTCCCACGCCACCAGGTGAAATAGAACCTCTCTCTTTCCAGAGAAGTGACCCGAGCTTAGAACTGACCTCAGTTTGTGGATTCTGCACATCTGAGAAATTCAGGGAGACCTTCTGACTCCTCTAAGATCACTCAGACAACAGACACCACAAGGAAGCAGGGTTAGTGCTCCCTCAGGGGGAACCTCTTCCATCACCATCATTTGGCAGAGGCACCAGAAGGGACTGGGAACCTGTGCTGGCTTGGGCACAGTGGGACAAGCCCATCTTTGCTGCCTGACTCCACTGTTTGTCTTTGCACCCCAAAACAAATTCTAAAAATGACTGTAGATTGCCCAGTATCTTGTATTCCCCTTCCTTTAATGAAGGTCATGCAAAGTTGGCTGTGGTGAGATTTCTTTCTTCCCCAATGGGAAAACTGTGAGAAAACCCCTGGTGAGAACAGAGTCTTTGAAGCTGTCTCAACTTGTCTGTTTTGCCTCCCCACCCCCAGACCTGGTTCTGAAAACACAAGAAAAAGGCTGTGTCCTTTCCAGGCAGGAAAGGAGAGAGAGCACCACTGTGCTATTTTAAGCAACTGCGCCCAATTCTGGGTTGGCTTGGAGGCCCAGGACTTGCTCCCAGCCAAAGCTGCCACTGGGAGAACTCCAGGAAGCCAACAGGCATCTGTTCCCATCACCCATGGGGTTTCTCAGCATTCGGAGGAAAGAGTTTTCAGTGGAGTAGGGGACCCAGAAATGAAGCAGAAGCAAATATTCTTACTTCCCCTGGTAAAGAAAAGGATGTTTCTGGAAAGTCCAACGTCTAAATGTTGCTGAAACCTCTAACGGCTTAGTTCTGCAGAGGATGGCTCTCCACCACCTCCTGGCCCTGCTCCCCCGCTGTGTGACAGTGAGGCCTCGGCCCAGGACCGCAGAAGGTCACCTGAGTCAGTCCCCAAACAGCAGGCTGACTTCAAGCATTGCCCCGGGCAGAAGGACGGACTGCTCTAGACATTTCTGCCCCTCCCACGGCCCAATGCTGCCAGCCCTGTCCTGGCTCTGGAAGCCACTCTGAGGTCCTGGGCAGACCACACTGTCCTCCCAGCTCAGCCAGCTGGCAGGCGGTCACCCCTGATGTACGTTGACATTTCAGACAGCCCAACTTTCTTCTCCAGGGGTCCTCTCTGGGCCTGGGTCCGGAATAAGAAAGCCAGGGAGGGGCAGCAAGTGGAGCGAAGCCAGGTAACCCTGCCAGGAACCTGCAGCTTGTCCCTGGGTTTCTGGCTGTCTGGTTGGTACCAAATTACAGGCAGCTTGACACCAACCCAGAACAGCGTGTGGGGAGCTGGGGAGGCAGGAGGGGGAGGATTAGAAAAGGGTAAAATGGGGTTACAGGAGAGAGAGAAGACAAGAGAGGGGCAAAGAAGAAAGGAAGAAAGAGTGAGGAGAAACAGCAAGGAAGGAGGTGAAATAGAAAAGGGAAGAAAATGAAGAGAAAGGAAAAAAAGAGAAAAACTCCCTAACAGGAGAAGGGGACCAGGAAGGAAACTGCGTCTTGTGGGTCCATCTCGACGCCATGGTGGCAACTGGGTGTGGGGCTGGGCCACTCTCATCCGTAAGAGCTCATCATCGTGAGCAAAGAGGACAGCAGAGGGGTCAGCCCCTACCCGTCCTGAGTGAGGAGTGAGCTCGCCCAAGCCTCTCCCCCCAGCCCCTGGAGGCGTCGTCAACGACCTGTCTGCGTGTGGGCTCCGGGAAGCCAGGGTTCAGCCTCTTTTCTCCGACCTGAGGAAGCTGCCAGCACCCACGTGGTGCCCTTTGCCTGGCCTCCCCCACAATCACCAGGGTCCACAGTGTTGAAAACAACATTCACAGCTGAGTCAGACAGATTAAGGTCTTTAGGGGGTTTCTATGGAAGGCATGTTACAAATGCATGGTGTAAACAACGCAGCCCCTTTCAACGTCCTAAGCAGGCTGGGGACTTCGCAGCCAGAGCTCCAGGTCAGCGGGTCCCCAGCAAGAAGTGTCCCTGAACCGACTAGCCTCCCTTTCCTGTGCGAAGGCCACCAACACTATAATGGGTCAGGAAATGCTGGTGTGCTTTGGTACCAGCCAAACAGAATCAGGAAAGAAAAACAAAACAGATAAAACTAAAACACAAACCTGCAACTTGCGAGCATAGCGACTCCTTATGGCGCAGAATATACATATTACAGAATCAATACAATTCATGTCGAGGTACCCACTAACTTGGATATTCTGTGCTATGGCTTTATTCTAGAAATAGAGATAACCAAACAACAGCTGGAAGCAAAAGAAAGAATCAAGCTGAATGCATGAGAGAGATGCCAGATGACCACTGAAAACAGTGCTTCTCAAATTCTGGGGTGTGCCCAAACCACCTGGAGAGCTAATGAAGGACAAGGCGGGGACTGTTGAGGCCGGACGGGGCCAGGCCTGGGTATGGCTGCCAAGTTCGCCAGGTGATTCCGATTCCCACCAAAGTCTGAGAAGCACTGACTTAGAGTAGGACCAAGTTTAACTCAAGGGTTTAGAATCAAGCAGCTGAAGTAGCTCAGGCACAACGGGCTGGAGGGTCTCTAGGTCAGCCTTGGGGACAAGTCTCCCCCCAGACTCAGGGACCCAGGGCTGCTTGGGCGAGGCGGGCTGCTGCCCCGGACCCCAGCCCCGGGCAGGGGCCTGCACTTACTGGTGAGGACCTTGAGGGTGAACGCGTTCTTCTGCTGGATGGTGTGGGTAAAGTGGAAGCGGGCATTGCAGCTGTAGTCAGTCTGCATGTCCTGCAGCATGACGTTGGAGAAATACAGGTCTCCGTTGTGGCCCTGGGAGACACGCTTGTCTTGGGTGATGGGGTCCATGGCTACAAGGAAGAAGAGGCACAGTGGGGGGTTGGCAGTAATGAGAACAGTGATGACAACCATGATGGTTCTGACCACTGAGCACTTACAGAGGGCCTGGAGCTCGGCGCTATTTGGTCTAATCCCCTCAACTCTGAGAGGGGCTTACTCCCATTTTACAGGTAAGAAAGCAGAGGACTAACGTGTCCTAGGTCGCAAAAGCAGTGAGGAGAGAGCAGGGTTTGGATGCAGACCTGCCCGCCGCGCCCATGCGCAATGACCACACTTTCCTATCTCGTTCCTGCCACAGAGGGTCTGACCCAAGGCCAGAGAGAGGGAACACCATCTTTCAAATACTCCTCAAATCAGGAGTCAGACTCACTTATTTTTAAGCACCCTCCTCAAGAAAGAAAAAAGCACTAACCAATTATAAGATGCACATCAAACAATGATGCACACCGTCAATTTTAGGATGCCTCCCAATTTTAGAGATGTTAAAATATGAAAACGTGTACTTTTTAGAATTAATGACATCATAGGAGAATGCCAAATACGTTATCTATATTTTTTCACGCCATCACGGCAGCTGATGTAGACTTCTAAGACCAGGTTTCCAGGCTGTTAGGTTTGTAAAAAATACTTATAAGGCTGGCTACTCATAGCCAACTCCTTCCTACCCGCCATGACAGTTTCTAAAGGCACCGTTTCTTAAAGCACAGGTTAATATGCCAATTTCCCAATGATGGGCTGGTCAGCTCTCCAAAGTATTTACTAAAGATTTACTGTAGGCCTACTATGTGCCAGGCACTGTGCAAGGTACTGGTGAAATAGAGACGAATAAGAAAGACAGCTCCTGCCCTCAGAGAGCCTGTAGTCAAGCAATAGAGACGTGGATGGCTAAGTAGTTACAATGCAGTGTGGTGAGTGGGAAGCCCCAGAGACGGGGAGGGGCTGAGAGGAGGAGCACGCAGTCCATTCTCGGGGGCCTTGAGCTGAGGCTTGAAGGCTGCAGGACATTTACCAGGCAGAGGAGAAAGAGAAGCGAAAAGGTTTCTCAGCAGCAGGAGCAGTGTGTGCTGAGGAGAGCACACAGCGGGGCCGGCGGCCCGGGGCAGGAGGAGGGCTGGAGAGGCAGAGGGGACCAGATCAGGAAGGGAGCTGTGTGCCAGGGAAAGGAGTCTGGCCTTTTCCTGAGGTGACAGAGGAGCCAGTGAAGGGCACTGAGCATATGAATGAAACTATCAGATTTAAGTTTACTAGAAAGACCAAGGAGCCCAAGCAACCCCTCTCTGCTGAGCCTGTGTTCTCAGCCATGCGGCCACCTTACATCTGCCCCTCACAACTCAAGGTCTTCCAGCCTTGGGCAAGCCCCTCCCCACTTAACACACCCATCCCACTCCCTAAGATTAAAACAGAAATAAAACACCAGGCCCCCAAGACTTACTGCTGCTCATCCAGAAGATGACTGGGGACGGAAGTCCAGGCGGGGGGTTACACTGGAGTGTCAAGGGGGCGCCTTCTTGGACCACGACAGGGTCTAGGTTTTCCTTGGGCCACAGGGGAGATTCTGGGGAGAAAGCGACAAAGGAGGATGAAATGAGGGCGACGGCTGGGGCGGGGCAAGCAGCAGGGCTGAGGCTGGCGTGCAAGGAGGGGAAGGAGAAGGAGAGATGGGAGACGGGGGAGCAGGAGAGAGGGGCAGGGCACGCCAGTCCAAGCGAGGCACACCCGAGGGGCGGGGGGAGAGAAGGCTTTTGTCTGAATGGAGGCACATCTTCAAAGGCCCCTCTCCTTCCCCTCCTCCTGTGCCCAGAGCGGCCAGCGAAGTGTTCCAAACCAGTCTAGAAGCTTCCTTTCCAAGGAAACTTTGTGAGTTGGGGAGGTGCGCCCCTGCTCAGAATCAGAAAAGCAAGTGGCACATGCAGGACGTCGAGGCACCAAGAGGCCAAGGGCAGGACCGGCCCTTCTGGAAGGACCCCCAGGGCTCCCTCCAACCACCTCGGAGCAGGGACTCGGCCCTGCCCCACACTACTCACTGGACACCTGCAGGCGGATCCTGTTGGACAGGGCGGTGCCGAACTTGTTGCGGGCGAAGCACTGGTATTCCCCCTCGTACTCCTCTGGCCGCCCGCCGCTGCGGAAGTCGATCACCAGGGTCCCAGACCGCCTCTTCATGGACACCCGGGGGTCCTTGGCGATGTTGAAGAACCTGCTGTTGCGAGTCCAGTGGAAGCTGTGGACAGCGAGGGGCAGGGACAACGGAGAGTAACGGTGGGCTCTGGCTCCAGGTGAGGCTCTCTGGGCCCCCCAGACTCGGTCCCACAACCACACCTCCAGCCCGGGGGGGCCCCACCCCAGCTGAGCAGCAGAGCCGCCTGGGAAGCCTGGTAAAATGCAGAGTCGCGGGTCCCACCCTGGGGAATAGCTGGGGGCAGAGTCAGCGGTGACTGCCACCCCCGGGCATTCCCAACCCCCAACTAGGAATGCAAACCCAAATGCCTATTTCCCCCTGCCCAAGAGCATTGGGGAGCTGGCTCTGCTCCTCTCGCCTCCTTACTTGATAATCCGGCTCTAAAGCCAAGTGACGCGGCTCAGGCTCTTGTGCCCTGCCCGCAGGTGGAGATTACAGAGCTGCGGCCACTCATTAAAGCCCAGGAGGGGCAGCTCGGAGAGAAACAGCAGCCTTAGCACAACTGAGGCTTGGAGTGAAGAGACTACCACATCCCCCTGCTTCTCCTGGGGGACGTGCGTCTGTGGCTGCCCAGGTCACGCCCTTAAAAGAAGCAGGAGCAGCAGTGGCTGCTCGGTGTCAGAGTCACCGTCCCCTCATAGGGACCACGGGAGAAAGACCAAACCTCAGAAGCAAGGTCACCTATGCCCTGCCTGACCCTTCAGGGTGACCCCTGCTTCTCCCACCAAGGGCAAGAGGCCCCGCTAGTTTCCAGGCTCACAGCTCTGGGCTAGACCGTCCCACGCAAACCTGGCCGTGGGGAGGGGGAGGCTGCCACACACCTGCGGCTCCGCTCTGCCTCATTTCTCCTGCTGACACACACACCCTACATGGTGGGGTCCTGCCACCTCTGGGTCTGAATCTGCCTGAAGCGTCTGAGGGGTCCCTTCTGTGGTGCGGCTTTGAGGATGGGAGATGGATAGCGTAACATCTCCCTGTCTCCAGTGCTCACCGTTCGCTATTAACAAGCCCGGCCTGGGGCATCAGAGGCCTGGGTTTAGATCAAGGTTCTGCCCCTCTCAAGCTGGGCAACCTTGGAAAAGGTACTTAATATCTCTGTGCATCCATTTCACTTCCTCTTCACAAGGACAGGGGTGCTTCTCGAAGGGCAGTGAGGTAGTCAAAGAGACGGTGTGGGGAACACCACTAACAGAGCCTGGCACACAGCAGGCTTTCAGCTTGTGACTGCTGACATCTCATGCGATGCTGATGTACAAGCAGAGATGCGCTCAGAATGAAAGACTCAGGCTAGTCAGGAAGAGGAACTTCCCCTAAGCTAAGCACGGGGGATGACAGGAACATACGACAGTGGGAAGAATGGCACACTGAAGGGCAGAAAACCTCATATGTGGTCCTGGCGTTCTGGTGCCTTAGCCACTGAAGTTTTCTGGCCCCCACTTTCCTCACCAGCTAAATTTCCTAGTTGTCCAGACGGTCCCTTCCACCCAGTAGGCGCCTCGTGGATAAATTTTGAATGATGTTTAATTTCTCAGCTGCCTCGATGACCATCAGGCCCAGGGGCAGGGGTGGTTTAGACGCCCTCCTGCGGGCCCCTTGCCCCCACCCAGCCCTGAGGCCCCTGCCAGGGCACTCACCTGGGGGCGGGGTTCCCCTTCGCCTCACACTCAATCAGGATGTTATCCCGGGGATCCACGATGTGGTCCTTCACCGACTGCTTGGTGATGGTCGGAGGCTGGGACACTGCAACAGAGCACACAGTGGGCGGTCAGGGCTGCAAGGAACCCTGCGGCCCTGGCTTGGGGAAGGGCTGAAATGAAGAGCCTCAGGAGCCACACAGACAAGCAGGCGAGCAGGGCGTGGACGGTGCCCTGGTCCAGCGACCTCGCTCCTTAACCAGGGCCACAGGACAGGGGGTGCGTGTCAAAGACTAAGAATAGGAAGAATCCCTGGAGGGTCTCATGGTATCCCTGTGAGAAACCGAAAGCCAGGCTTTCGTCTCACCCATTCTCACCTCGCAGCGCTTAGCACGATACCTAGCGCACAGCAGTTCTTGATAAATGTTTGTTGAATGAATAAAGGAACAAAAAGCAGCTAGATTTCCAGAACCTAGTGGCCATGATGGTTCTGAGCCCTGGAGGGTCAAGAGATGGCCAAACTGTGGCGAGGCAGGAGCCGAAAGAGGCTTTCGTCCCCAGAGACCCTCCCGGGGACTTGTCTGCATGCCAAAGAGCCAGCTCCTCTCACTCTCGGCCCCGGGCTCCACTGTTCTCCGGCTGCCCCTGTGCCAGCCACCGGAGGGTGAGGGAGCAGCGGCCCCTTACCCACTTGCCTTCCCCAGCAGTAGGAAGCTCTGGGGGAGCCTCTTCTCTCCTGTGTGGGAAGCGACCTCACAACAGGGCTCTGGGGTCAAGGAGGCCCGGCGGGCAGGTGGAGAGGCCGCTAATCCCCAGGGAGCTCCTCACCTGGCCTTCTCCCGCCCTCCCTGCCCTCCGGCCTCCCAGAAGCACAAGCACAGAGAGGCGGCTGGAGGACTTACGCTCGTTCTGAATGCTTGCTGTTAGTTCCGAGGGGTTAGCATGGTGAGGGGAGAAAAGAAGACATCAGTTACTGGTTATTGGTCGTCAGACACGACGAATCGCCCAAGTGTCCTCACGCCCCAGCATGCAGGGAGAGGGGTGAGGTGGGGGGGGGGGCGTGGTGCGGTGCACAGGCTCACTCCTCCCTGCTGCAGAGCTCAGTAGAAGAGCCAAGCAGGGGTGGGCCAGACCCAGTGAGTGCTTCATGGAGAGGTGACACCTCTCGAGGAGATCAAACCACACAGCTGAGCAGGAAGACCAGCTTCTGACCAAATGATGCGGCAGGGAAGTCTGAATATCAAAAGTGACAATGCTGCTTGAAAGAGGCTGGGCTCTGGAGATGCTGCCGTCATCTCTAGATGCCATTGAGGGAAGTGGGCTCCTGGGTCAAGGGTACAAGGGAGAGGCGGAGGGCCCGGGAAGCAGTGGATCTGAACTACCTCAGGGCAAAGCTGCAGGGGCCCAGAAGGGCCACAGGCCTCGCTCGTCCCAGGGCCCCTTCTTTTCCCACTGGCTCCTCCTCCCATCCTTTAAAAAACCCTAGGGACAGATGGACCACGGTGGCCCCGCTCATGGTGGAAGGGCATCACCCGGTGGAAATCCCGCTTCTGAAAAGCTGTGGGGACGAAGCAGAGCCCACCACTGCTTTCTGTGCCTTTCACAAAGTGGGTGCAGGGGCAGGTGGCGCAAGCCTCCCCCAGCCCTCACCTGAGATGCGCCCGTGCGCCTGTACATGTGTGTGTGTGTTTGAGGTTTGGTTTCTCAACCTTTGACAAGCATATGAATCACCTGGGGTGTCTGGCTAAAAGGCAGGTTCTGATTCAGGAGAGCCTGCATTTCTGACAAGCAGCCAGGTGATGCCGATGCTGGTGGTCTGTGGACCACACTCCGACTAGAAAGGTTTTAGATGTATGTTCTTTGTGGGGAGAAGGTCTTGGTTAAAATTTGTCTGTGGAGAAGGCAACGTGTTGCTGTCACTTTTTAAGATATCTTTTCCTTATGATTCTATCAGAAAGCAATGTGCCATTCTTATCTCACACGGGCGTGGACGTCCGATACTGTGCTGGGGCTGCGGGCTGGCGTTTTCAGAGTGAGGGCTCCGGGGGCAAGCGGAAGCTGCTGGTGAGCCATGATGGCTGCGAAGCTTCCTGACTTGGTCATAGTGAGGTGTGGAAGAGGAATTTAGGGGCTTGGAGAGGGCGCAGGCTGGAGAAGGCTGAGTTAAGCCAGGACCAAGAGACGCAGGAAGAGCCACAGGAGAGCGAAGACAGACAGACAGGGGAGGCGGAGTGCGGCAGGAACAAGGTCCCTCCTACACACGCTGTCAGTGCGTGAAAGTCTTGAGAGTAAGACCCGTGAAAAGGCTCAAGATAACTCTCCAGGTGGGCCAGGCCACGCTACCATTTGCCTAGGTCCCTGGGCAGGAAACAAAAAGGGATGAAAAGTCCAGCGAAAAAGCAGAATCTATGGTTTCTGAACACCTGCTCCATGGAGCTCCCCACAGCAGTGTCTTCACCCACATATACTTTTCCTGCCAGGGGCCCAAGAGAGGTCATTCTGAAAAGCCAGTGGGGTCAGTCATGCAGAGGGGCTGGTGGGGGAAGGGCCCATTTTCAGGAGAAGCAGGGCTGATGCTTGACCCACTCCTTCTGACCACCAGCCCAGGCCCTTGGTTTCTTCATCTCAAGACCCAGCTAACATCTCTCGGGTCCTCACATACTGTGGAGGGCCCTGGCCTCGCCCTGGATGGGACGCCTGACAAAGCATCTGCTCTGCCCATGTGGGTCTCAAGTCTCTCTTTTATAGGATCAAAGGCTGGTTCAATGGAAGGAGCCCCAGACATTGTCCAGGGGGGTCTCAAATTCTTGGAAGAAAAGTCAGTCGGTTAAGGTGACACAGGAAGTCTGTTCCAGAACTGGAATGAGAAGAGCTCTCCCGCTGCCTGGTCCCGAGCTCTTTTCACAAATCCATCCTAGGCCAGAGAAGGGAGGTGGCCAGGTGGGGCCTCGGCACTTTGTTCTCCTTGACATCTTGGGCAAAGGTGAATGGGTGGGGGGCAGGCTCTTAGGATGCTGTCCTCAGCCCACAGTGGCAATCAGGCCACAGGCCTCCTGAGAAACTACCTGCCTAAAGATGTAATGACATCTGCAGCCACATTGTGCAACCAAGGAATTATCACAGGGACACAGTCAACTCAGAAGACGAGCCACCACAGCGAGAAGACAATGGGGACTGACTGCCCAGGGACGGGGCGACCTACCCAGTCCTGTGACAATCCCCCCCCCACCTCGTGTCACACCACCTGCCCTTCTCTCCTTCTATGGAACTTGCTGGATGACAATGTCAAGTGGAGAATGAATTTGTTCTTTTGGCTTCCAAGGGGGAGGGATCTTCCTGTGGGCTCTGCAGTGGTGAGGCAGACGCGGCCCAGGCTGCAAGGCTCCTCTGCTCACGCCCTTCTCTTCCCTCCCCGGCTCTGACATCTGCAGCACCGGCCCCGTCCCTGGGAGGATGGAGTATGTGAGTATGTGTTTGTGTGTGTGTGCTGTCATTGCTGAGGCCATCCTGCAGCACTATTTGGGATGACAGTGAGGAGAAAATGCTTCTTCCACACCACTGCCCCCTCTCTGAGTTCCTAGGAGAAAAATGCCCGGTGCCTTGAAGTGGGAAGGGGGACGGAGGGGGACGGAGGGGCAAGATGCCAGCAGAAGCACTTTTTGGCAAACCCACTCTGGTTGATGAGGCGACACTTTGCTTTCTTCAAAGGTCACACTGTTCTCCTTGGGGCTGGCAAGGAGGGGAGGGGTGAGTAGGAGGGGTGCGTGTGACTCTGCTGGCGGAGTGGTGGGAGCTGGAGGGCTGAGGCTTCAATGAGGGATTGTGTAGCAGCCCGGAGCTCTGTTCCAGGAAGCCTGCTGCGCCCAAACTCTGCAGCGCAGAAGCAATGCCCCAGTCCTCAAGGCACAGACAGTGCCCCTGAAGGGGCAAGCGAGTGGAAGGGCACACCCGCCGGGGCAGCCTCTGGCCTGAGCCCCTAGGCCCTCTCGGCCAACACACAGGGAAAGTTGAGTGCCTGATCTTAAGCTGTCCCCACGTCTTGCTGTTGTGAGTAATGTCGCAAGGAACATGGTGCAGGTATCTCTCCAGCCATTTGCGACATCATGAAGGGAGCTTGAGGGCAGTGTGCTAAGTGAAATAAGTCCAAGAGAGAGGACAAATCCTGTATGTTCTCACCTATATGCAGAATCCGAAAAAGTCAAACTCAAAGAAAAAGGGAGTGGAATGGTGGTTGCCAGGGGCTGGGGACAAGGTGTCGGTCAAAGGGCACACTCCCAGCCATAAGATGCATAAGTCCTGGGGGTCCAATTGCAGCACGGTGTATAATTAACAGTGCTGTATCATGTACTTGGAAGTTGGGAGTAGATCTGAGAAGTCATCACCGCACACACAAGCGAGTTATGTGAGGGGTGGCTGTGCTAACTCAGCTCACCGAGGGACGTGTCTTGCAATATATACTTGTACCAAATCACCACGCTGGGCGCCTTACACTTACAGAAGTCATATGTCCACCATGTCTCAATGAAGTCAGGGTGTCTGGCCTTTCCCCAGCCAGTCCTGCTGGGCCTCCACTCAGGACGAGAGGCCCGGACGGCTGGGTCCCCGGGAGGCGTGCCCTGCGCTGGGCCCAGCGGGAGGGGAGCCTGGCAGGGAGGACTTCTTCCCAGGGCACTAGGTACTTTCCAAAGGGCTTGCCTCTCTCTCGCCTCGTGCTCAGCTCTCGTGGACATGTTCTGGAGGTGTTGGCATGGCCCCCGCTCCGCGGCAGCCAGGAAGGCAAGGGCATGTGACGCGCTCTGGGCGGGGCCCGAGCTCCTGTGTGACACGGCACGGGGCACGGCGTCCAGAGGACCCAGCTGCTCACTCAGTGAGACACTGAGGTCCCAGGCCGGCTCTGCCACGTGCGAGCGGGACACGGCGTTCCTTCTCTGCACCTCAGTTTCCTAACCTGTCGGTTGAGGAGATGCCTACTCCACGGATTAGCTGTGGGGGCCATGGAGACGGTGCCTGTAGAGCACTGAGCTCCCTGCCGGGCGTGTGCTCTTCCAGTGAGTTCTAGAAGAGCTAAAGGAGGCAGGGTTGCCAGCAGTTGGGGTGGGGCATGTTGGCTGCCAAACTGGGGGGAGGGGGCGTCAAGAGACCTGAGTTCTTCTTGTGACTCCATCACCCACTTGCTGTGTGACCCTGCATTCTGTGAAGGCCTGGAGGACTCTCTTCATGGACATGGCGGGGGGTTGGAGGGGGGGACAGGGAGGAAGGTGGGGAGGTGGCAGGGGGTGAGGGGAAGTGGCAGTGGGGACCCTTGCAGCTGTCTGCGCCACAGGCAGTACTTTGGAGACTGACCGCACACTTGGTCACCTGCCTGTGGCTCCAGCAGAGCTTTAGAAATCCAGATTCCTAACACGGACCTGAAAGCCATCTATTTATAGGCTCACCTTCAGGAACCCCTCACCCACTAGCCCTGGGGATCAAAGCGGCAGGGGAGGGAGTGAGGAGAGGCGGCAGAAGAGAAATGAGCCTTCACCGCTTCCTTGATAACCCAATTTCCTGTGCACCCCCTCCTCCCCAGGGACGTGGCCTTATCACGCTCCTTATTAGATTGTCGGCCCGGGTCTGTTAATGAGACTTGCCTCGAGCCAGCAGTGCAGACGGTCTCCATGGGAATGGCTCCTCTCACAACTCCCTTCTCCCCCCTCCCTAAGTGTACACACACACACATGCATGCACACGCGCGTGTACACACACTCGGGGCTGTTGAGAGGGCAGCGGGGGCCTTGCCCATCTTGCTTCTGGGTCCAGCTCATAGTCTCCACCGGCCTCCTCTCACCCCGCATTGCTCACTCCTCTGGGCAGTTTGGTGAAATGGGGTGGGTGGCTGAGACACCTGCAACTCTCCTCCAGCTACGCTCATTCCAGGCCCCGGGGTCTGGCTTTGGAGAGCTCAGTGGAGACTTCTTGGAGGCTGGATCCCTCTGCCACCCTCCCAGACGTCTGTCACCTGGAGAGAGCCCAAGTCTACAGTGGCATCATGTGGGTCCCATCTACTCCCGAAAGCAAGGAACAGGGGACAGAGGTGGTATGGCCATATCATAGCACTGAGATGCCAAGACGTCCTGGCAGAAATGTCAGAATTGTGGCAAGGGTGGGACACACCTAAAAGCAGGGCCAAGGAGCATGGCTGCCAGTCAACGGGCCATTTATGAATGTAACAACAGACGTGCCTGGCGGTGACACGGCTGTTAGATTAGCATTCAGAGCCCCTTACTTTCTGATCCTGACGGCAAAATAATGCCCCCACTGTGGGAAACCAGGACACAGATTTTACTCTCCAACTTTACCTCAGGAGGGTTAGAAACAAACATGAAGGAGGCAGTGCCTGGCTCTCCCACAGTGGCATTATAATGGGCTCCACTTTAATGTCGCATTTAGCCACAGTCTATTGCGAAATAATCCCCTTCCCAACCCTCCCCAGGCCGTCCATCCTGCTGCTCAGTCCAGCCAAAAGGGCCCTCAGAGCCCAGCTCAGATCCTGGAAAGACAAATAAGAAGTGGCCTCTACACTCGGTCCCTGGAAACTGCTTCGATGGGCAAGTCAAAACCACAGAGGCCCCCGGAGCGAAGGGAGGAAGACCACCTGAGTGACGCTCAGACTTCCAAATGCTGCCACCCCTGGTCCTGCTCAGCAGGCTCCACGACTCAGTCTCGGGTTCCCAAACATGAGCCCGCCACGTCAATTCTTTGGAGAGAAACCCAGCTCTGAGCCCAGCATCCACTGCTTCCCCTCTCCCCGACCTCCTTAGAATGGTCTTAACTCTCCCTTGACCTCCCCTACCCTCAACTCCTCTGCCCCGAACCCGGAGAATAAAAGCAATTGACAGAGCAGGACTCACGATCCATAGGAATCTCGATGGCCCGGCCGAGGCTGAGGAGGCAGAGGAGGATGGCTGCATGGACCCAGGGTGGCAGCTGCTGCCTGGCCATCCTCAGCACGGGGCCCCGCTCCCTGCTCCCCGGCCCGCAGGGTGTGGCCACCTCCAGCCGTTCTAACTGGGCCTCCTGGATAGAGCTCAGCTGTGGAAAGAAATACAATGACAAGTGAGGTTTTCTTGAACACATGTTTTGTTCTAGCAATCCTACAGGGCCTGGAGGGTCCCCTCAAGGGTCCCCTTGGTCACAGACCAATGCTCTAAAACAGGGTTTCTTTTTTCTTTTTTTTTAGGAAGTTTAGCCCTGAGCTAACATCTGCCACCAATCCTCCTCTTTTTGCTGAGGAAGATTGGCCCTGAGCTAACATCCGTGCCCATCTTCCTCTGCTTTATATGTGGGACGCCTACCACAGCATGGCTTGCCAAGCGGCGCCATGTCTGCACCCGGGATCCAAACTGGCGAACCTCAGGCCTCTGAAGTGGAACACGCGCACTTAACCGCTGTGCCACCAGGCCGGCCCTAAAACAGGGTTTCTTAACCTTGCTCTATTGACATTTGGGACCCAACAATTCTTTGTGTGGGACACTGTCTTGGGTATTAATGTAGGATGGCTAGCAGCACCTCTGGCCTCTACTCACTAGATGCCAGGGGAGCCCACTCCTGTCCCCAAACAAATACGTCTCTAGACATTGCCAACTGTCCCCTGGAGGACAAAACCACCCCCAGTGGAGAACCACTGTTCTAGAAGGAAGGGTAGCTCTGCACAGAACAATCGTGAGAATGAACACTGGCCCACATCGCATCTGGAGGATGAGACGCCCGGGGCCAGTAGGAAACACACCAGTCGCAGCTCCTCTGAGCCAGCTGTGCCGAGTGGGTCTGGGGCTGAGTGCGTCTGGGTGGGGCAGAGAGACAAGATCTCCAACCCAGGGAGAGGGGGCAGGGTGAGGGACCAGCCCTGGGGATCGGGGGGAGACAGGTGAGATTTGGTTGCCTAAGCATTGTTTTTTTTTTTTTTAAATGAATGACTTCTGTAGATATTTTGTGCAGCTAAGGTATGGCAGTCCCTGATGTTGTCCCTTTAGAGATCGTGGCAGTGCTGAGACAGTGGCCCAGGAGAAGGGGATTCTAGGGGGGCCGGTAGAATGAGCAACATTATGACAGCCCAACGTTCACATCTTCAAACACAAGAAATCATTCCAGGCCCTGCCGGGGGGGTGCGGGGGAGCGGTGTTAAAAATGACTGTCCAAGGAGCCTGGAATGGGTCCTTAAGAGACAAACCCTTTTCCCCTCCTCCTGGGAGAGAAGAGCAAGAACGGCCTACAGCTGACACTCAAATACAGAGCTTTAAGACTGCCCAAGGTTGGGGCCGACCCCGTGGCCGAATGGTTAAGTTCACGTGCTCCGCTTCAGCGGCCCAGTGTTCACAGGTTTGGATCCTGCACACCGCTCATCAAGCCATGCTGTGGGGGCATCCCACACAGAACTAGAAGGACTTACAACTAGGATATACGACTGTGTGCTGGGGCTTTGGGGAGGAAAAAAATGAAGATTGGCAACAGATGTTAGCTCAGGGCCACTCTTCCTCACAAACAAAGATTGCCCAAGGTTCTGAGACCGAGTCTTAGAAATTGGTCCAGTTTGCTGTTCCACCATGGGGCAAGTTGAAGAGGGCAGCAGGGGGTGCTTCCCCAGGTCTCGCTCAGCTTTCCTGGACTACTAGCCAGCTACCAAAATGGAGCCATTGTTCTCCTCTGCCTGTTTCACTTGGCAGCCGCCTGGAGCCTGCTCTCACCAGTACCCCCACTGTCTCCCAGCCCTCCTGACGGAGGTGGAGGGGCTGGGAGCAGGGCTCCAGGGCTCGCTCTGGGGACAAGGCGATGCTTCTGAGACCTGGAGGATGACGCACCTCCCCTGTGCCAGGACGTGGGGCAACCTAAAGGATTCTGATTCAGATTCCAGCAGTTTTTTTTCCTGGAAGCTGGGCCCAACGCCAGCCCCCAGCCTCAGGCACATTTCTGGACTGTCCCCCTCCCCCCACCCCAGCTACTTCCACCTTGGTTCTGGTCACCATCGTTTCATGCCAGTTACTACAATAGCTTCCTAAGTGGTCTCCCCACTTCGACTCTCACCCTCTGATTCATTCTCCACCCACAACCAGAGCTGTCATTTCTAAAGTACAAATATAAATGCGCCACTCCCCTAGGCAAACTCAACTAGCTCCCTACGGGACGAAAGTTAAAGCCGAAGTCGGTGAGACGGCTCCGCAGCCCCGCCTGGTGCAGCCCCCTCCACAGTCTCGTCTCTCATCACCCTCCCCTTGGGCTCTGTGTGCCAGCCAGTGTGGCTCTTCTCCTGGCCTCTCAGTGCATCGTGCCGTCGTACCGACTGCCTGCTGCACAGATTAACTCCTGTCTAGAACATTCTTTGGATCTGCCCTCTCACATTAGGATTCGCTAAGTGTGACTTACATGGCCCTTGCCTGCACTCCTGAACACCATTTACTGCCCCCATTATAGTACTTGTCACTTTGTATTTATTCCAAAAGCCACTCGTCTGTAGCCACTATAAAAGGGAAGGTGCCTCATCTTGTTTATTCCTAGAATCTAACACAATGCCTACAACACAGCAGCCACTCACAAATATGTGAGGGAGGATGAAAAATGAACAAACGAATGACTGACTGGATGAGACAACACACTTGGTCAAGTGGGGGTTTTCTGGTTTGTTTTTAACCTCATGTTTCCCCAGAAAACCACCAGGTGGTGTAGGAGAGCACCGTCTTTGGACCTGGGACCTCCGGCTAGAAGGCATCCCAGGAGGTCTTCGGTTCTTCCTCCTGACTCTCTGAGATGGTCCTGACACTGTCTCAGAAAGAGTCTGCTGACTCCTTGGCTCCTAATCTCCAAAGACCAGGCCCAGGTCACCCAGCTGAAGCCTTCGTGTCGAGGGAACCAGCTGGCGGAGGCTCAGCGCTCCTGCGCGGAGGACCAGGCAGGGCTCCAGCCCGGCCCACAGGACTGCCGCGTTTCGTTCAGGAGCTGCCAAGCAGTAGAAAGTGATGGGAAAGGGGATCGCTTATTCTGGGAATCTGGATGGAAAAAGGAAGCCAGAAGCTATTCATTAACTAGAAACACACTGGCAGGAAAAAAAACCAATTATTTGGGGTGCTTTTAACTCACAATTTAAAAACACAGTAGAAAAAAATAGAGATAATCACATTTAGCTGTTTGACAATTCTCTCTCTTCTCTCTAGAATCCAATTTTTCCAATAAAATCTTAAAAGAGGAAGAGAATTTAAAGATTATTCAGCTTTATGCAATCCTCTTACTTTTCAGATGAGGAAACAAGAGCCCAGAAAGGGGAAGTGATTTGCCTAAAGTCACCCAGCTGGTTAGTGGCAAAGCTAGGAAAAGAAACCAGGTCTCCTGACTCCCAGACCAGAGTTTTCCACTCAATTTCCCTCTCTCTCAATATGCAGGAAAGTTCCAGAGTAAAGCTGCTACGTGTAGAGGAAGACTGGCACAGATGTTAGCTCAGGGACAATCTTCCTCACCTAAATATATAAACATATTTTAGAAAAGGAAATGTACAGTTTGGCAGCTCCTCAAAAAATTAAACATAGAATTACCATATGACCCCGTATTTCCACTCCTAAGAATTAAAAATGGGTATAGTCAAACAAGTCCATGTACACCCACGTTCACAGCGGCATCATTCACAACAGCCGAAAGGCGGCGTCAGCCCAAGTGTCCATCAGTGGGTGAGTGAATAACAACTTACAGCACATCCACACCGTGAAATATTATTCAGCCACAGAAAAGAATGAAGGACTGATCGTGCTACAATGTGGATGAAACCCAAGGATATTATGCTCAGTGAGAGAAGCCAGACACAAAAGGTCACATATTAAATGATCCCATTTATATGAAATATCCAAAATAGGGAAATCCTCAGAGACAGAACACAAATCGGTGGTTACCAGAGGCAGAGGGGAAGGGAGAACAGGGAGCAACTGCTGAATGGGTACAGGGTTTCCTTTTGGGATGATGATGATGTCTGGGTCTAGAGGTGATGGTCGCACACAGTGCAAATGTACTAAATGCCACCAAATTGTCCGCTTTAACTTGGTTAATTCTATGATATGCAAATTTCACCTCAATAAATAAGGAATGTGTAACAGGGGTGTGTATATGTGCTCATAAAGATAAAGGAGCAGAGGACAGGGGCAGACAGGCATCCTCAGCTCCCCGGGCCGGATCCACTCAGCCTGGAAGACAGACATGCGGCCTGCCACTCTTCCCACACATTCTGAGGAAATTTCCCCCCAAGTCAAAGGAAGGGGAGAGCCAACTGCTGTCTGGGTACAGGGGCTCTGGTGCTGCACTCCAAGAACCCAGCGTGGAATGAGGAGGGAGACACCCTGCCTGAAGGTACCCCCACGTCACCAAGGTCACAGCTCCCCCATCCTGATGACCGGCAGGGAGGGAAAGGGCAGGTGTTTCTAACCTAAAGCAATTACATTCATGCTTCCAGCCAAATCTTAGTTCTTGCACTGTCTCGCTGTGTGGCCCAGTCTCATAATATCTCAGGTTCCTCTCCCAGCCCTTCCAACAACTCAAGAGGTTATCGCTGGGGCAGAGCAGCAGCCCATCAGACGGGGCAGAGCGGTCAGGGCCCTTCAACGGGAATGCCATCTAAGTATGGAGCATCCTGGGGAGGAACAAGGAAAATCCCATATCCCATGGGAGGGCACAGGAAGCTGCGACAGGGGCCGTGATGGCTGCCTTGGAATGCTGGAAGAGGGTGTGGAATTTTTCTGTTTAGCTCCGTGGGGGAAAAGCTAGGACCAGGTGTTTCTCTGAGAAGCAAGGAAGAATTTTCTAATAAACACAGCCATCCTACAATACCATTCACGAAAACAAAACACATGCGACCAACACGACATGTTTGAAGGATCCTTTTATATCGAATCAACCAGGTAAGAGGGGGATTGTAAGGATACAAAATACACTAGAGGGGGCCTATTGCAGGGAGAGAGTGTGAAGGAAGGAACAAAAGTAAATAAAACCATAGGGCTGGCCCAGTGGTGTAGTGGTTAAGTTTGCACACTCTGCCTCAGTGGCCAGGGTCCACTGGTTTG